ATGGACTATCAAAAAAAGCAACCCAAATCAAAGATAGTTCTAACATTACAGCTTTTGAATACTTTTAAGCAAAAGATGCATTAATTCCATTGTTTGGATTACTGTACACCACCTTGTGTGCATTGAGGCATGGATAAGCATGATTGCTTTACACTGCGCTGAATCATTACCAGTCAATTAGGGTATCTTGTTGACCAGAATTGACCTCCTTTACAATTTCATTCAAGAAGTAACTGTGTGGTCTCAAATCAATTGCTTTATATAGCCCCAAAACTTTTAGAACTTTTAGTACAAAGTCTCTCAAGGACAAGCAGTTTGATGAGCAATTTTTACATGCATTGTTTTTAGAAGAGTTCAAAGTTGACATAGTTGAACACTATCACTGCACCAAGGTGTGACTTTTTGTACATGCTGAAAAAATAACACATTTTAAAAAAGTGTGATAAAATAGCTAAATCAAGGCACTGTAATTAGCTTAATAAAACTATATAACTAATTCAAGCTATAAAGCTAAATTAAGAGACTGTGTCAGACCTGCTTATGTAATATCAAAATATCTCTATCTGCAGACTTGCATTGGTATCTGTTGCCTTTCAAAGAAAAGCTATAAAGATTACTGGTAGCCTACATGTCACTAAACTCTGTATCAGCACTCCAGTAAAAACACTACGTACAGCTAGCCAAGTAGATCATATCACTTCCAGCTGATCCAGTGCACTTGTGAAGAAAACTTTACAAGTTTTCAATAATTAGCCTAGTAATTTAAATATAAAGTACATTATTTTTCTTGACTTTAGACGGCTATATAACATGATAAATACTTACCCAATATAAAAATAAAAGTCGTCAATTTCATCTAATCGTTGAATCGGTTGAACCGTTGAACTTGATGCAGGAATCGATTGATGATGGATTGCATATGACATTTTCACCTTCTCATCGAAAGAGTATTACAAGGAGGATAACTCGTGTGAACAGCTAACCTTCCCGATATGGCCAGATCTGGCTCCTAGGCCATAAAACTTAGATGAGCTTACTTTTAATCTCAGCATAGGCGTCGGAACCGAAGGGGGGGGGGGGTAGGGGGTTTATCCCCCTACTTTTTTAATACAAAGAATTGGTACTAAGATAAGTTCGAACCCCCCCCCCCACACCCGAAAGAGGATTTTCGGATTTGGACAAATTTTCAATTTTCCTATTTTTTTTTTGTTGACAAGTTTTTTCAGGTTTGAATTTTTTTTTCTCATTCAATTACCCCCCCCCCCCCCACTTTCAATTTGCTTAATTCCTTTGGTAAACAGTTGGTAAAAGTGAGACAGATCAAACATGAGCTCGTCTAATTAAGTTTTATAGCCCCAGAGCCTGCAGGACGTGCCCCTCCCCCAATAATTTTGCCGACATATAGAATACTATAGAAAACATAGCTACTATATGCCTGTGCCCCCTCAATAAAAACGTCTGATGACCTTTTTTTTTTCTTGTCAAGGAATTTTTGGTGATGATGTTGTTCTGTTATCAACCTCAGCCAATGGTCTTCAACAAAAGCTAAACACATTAGATGAATTTTGTCAAAAATGGTGTTTAAGTGTAAATGTTGATAAAACGAAAGTCTTAGTTTTTAATAAATCTGGTAAATTGTTGAAGAATAAATTTTTATTGAATAATAGTATACTCGAAAATGTTACTAATTATAAATATCTTGGTGTTTATTTCACTGCATCAGGTACTTTTTCGCAGGCTAAAGATGCATTGTACAAAAAAGGTTTGAAATGTTATTTTAAGTTATGTAAAGATATTTTAGCATTTCATCCTCCTGTTAAAACTAGTCTACATATTTTTGACCATACAATTAAGCCAATACTGTTATATGGCAGCGAAATATGGGGTGTGTTTAGTCCTCATTCATCACGATTCAGAAATGGTATCTCAATTGACAATGTATATAATTTTTCAGAACCTGATAAACTACATTTGAAGTTTTGTAAATTTATACTGGGTGTTCATAAGAAAAGTGCAAAATTTGCTGTAATGTCAGAACTTGGAAGATTTCCGTATTATATTGATATCATAAAATCAATGTTATTATATTGGCATAGATTGGAAAATTCTGATAACAATTCTCTTCTGTACAATGCTTTTATCAATTCCAAAACACTTAGTACAAGTAGAGACTCCTGGTTCTCTTGTATACTTGAATTTTTGAATATTTTAGAAATATCAAAAAATGCCTCCTCTTTGAGTCTATCTAAATTCAAAATTGTCATCAATAATCAAATCCGCAAAAAGTTTATTTGCTCTTGGTTCAACTTTAAAGAAAAAAGTTCTTCTGGAAAACTTGATTCTTATGTAAAGCTTAAGAGTAATTTCCAATGTGAAGAATATTATACAATTATGGACTCTTTCGGTGGTGAATATGGTTTGTTATTCACCAGAAAAATATCAATATTGACCTCGGCTTCGGCTTCGCCTCGGTCAATATTGACATTTTTCTGGTGAATAACAAACCATATTCACCACCGAAAGAGTCCATAATTGTTTTATTATATAGTCCGAATTTGAATAAATAAGACATTGACGGCTACATGATGATATCACTTTCATTTACGAACTTCTGTCGTGGAAAAATGAAGAAAAAAAAATGTCCAGATTACAAGTTATAGCTTCCGTGTTGTCCTTTTGCTGTTTGTAAGACATCGAAATGTTTAGAAAATAATCCTGCGATAGGCTTGGCTTATGTTTTTCCTGCTCAGATACACAGCTGACTCCGACCGTTGCAACCATTGTTCACAACGATGTGTGAGGTGTTGATTGTGACGTCACAATGCCGCTGCACGCGCACCGACCCTCCGGTGAATACGGCTTCAAAACCAGTGAATATGTATTGTTATGAACTGTTTGCGTTTGTATAGATTATATAGGGGCTATAAATAGACTATATAATAATTAACATTACTGAATAACTTTGACTTTAGAAGAGGCATAACCAGACTAAGAATATCTTCTCACAGGCTTAAAATTGAAGCTGGTAGATATATTGGACTAGAAAGAGATAAAAGAATACGTGAAAAATATAATTTGAATGTAGTGGAAAATGAAATACATTTTACCATAGATTGTCCTTTTTACAAAGAAAAAAGAACCAAACTTATAAATGAAGCACAGAAACATAATAAAAGTTTTAATAGCTTAGATAGTTCTCAAAAATATTTTTGGATCATTACATGTGAAAATATGAATGTTTTACTTCAACTTGGAAACTACCTCTCTAATCATTTAATATGACATTGTAAAGCACAACAACTTGCTATGTATGTATTTTACTTTAACATTTTTTTTAATTTATCTCCTTATTGATAATGTACTGTCTTTGTGTACTAATGTATCTTTCATGCCTCTCTGGGGGCCCTTGATTGGAAAATAAATATTGTCTTGATTGGTAGTTGATAGTGCCCCCTCAATGGCTGTGCCCCCCCCCCCCTCAAATTGAAGTTACTTCCTACGGGCATATTGAAGTTTACTGTTAAAGCTGATTTATGCTTTCAATACATTGTATTTTTATGCCCCGGTAATCGAAGATTCGGGAACATATATTTTTTTTTTGGTCCGTCCGTCTTCCATCTGTTTGTCTGCAAAAACTTTAACCTTCCCTATAATTTTTGAATGGTTGGTGCTTGGGCTTTCATACATGTATTTCACATGTGTATTTCTTGTGATAAGATCTTTGGTTACCAATATTTGAAACCTCTTGGCCTTGACCTTGGAGTTTAACATACTTTTGAAAAACTTTTATTCTAACTTTAACTTCGTCCATAAATTTTGAACGGTTGTGCTAGGGCTTCCATATTTTATTTGTGCAAAGGCGGATCCTGCACCCCACCCCCACCCCACCCCCCGTTTAATTTTTGTTTACATGTATGCTGAACTTTAGTCTTATACGTCCGTTATCCTAAAATCAAGAAAAAAAAAACATCTCTTATATGTAAGAATTCGTCAGCTGGACCCACAGGGGGCTTCAGTGCAGCCTCTAGACGCCTGTCTTCTACTCCCCCCCCCCCCCCCGTTATGAAATTCCTGGATCCGCCACTGCTTTGTATTCCTTGTGACAAAACCTTTCTTTGGGTACTAACATTTTTTTTTACCTCTTTACCTTGGAGCAGGGAGACGTATATAGATTCCCTGCTTGGAGTTTGGTATCTACATTCATTTTGGGAAAAAACTTTAATATTGCATGACCAACAGTTGCCATACGGAGGCAACATTGTATAACAAACACACCTTGTTTAAATATTGAATATGACATAAAAACTTAAAACGTCCCTTAAACTATATTGAATAATTGAAGGATGTAATTGTTCTATATTTTACAAAGTTTAACATTTATTTCATTCATAAAACTTCTCACAACATATTTAAATTTATAAGAAATCTGCAAAAAAAAAAAATAACATGTATGAAATCTCCCTCTCTCTGGCCCTAACAGATTTGTTGAAATAATTTATTAGTTGATTTCAATGACTATAAATATATTTATCTATTAATTTATTTTTTTCACAGATTTCAGTAAATTGTTTCTGTATTAAATTCCCAAAAATTGGGAGCAGTAGAAACAAGTGTCTGTGATTGTTTGATCTGGCCTATTTGTATTGTAATATTGTCAGAACTTTGCGGATCCAAGAATGTTATAACGGGGACGGGGGGGGGGGGGCAGTAGAAAGCAGGAGGTCTGAGGGCTACAATGAATCTTGTTATACAAATCTGATAATTTAAAAAAAAAAATTCAAACGGGGGGGGGGGGGGCTCCGGCGCGTTGGCGCTGGATCCGCCTTTGATTATAATAAAAATGCTTAGATACATAATACATTTGTGTTACCACAAATAAAAATATAATCTGCCATGACAAATTAAGAAGTTGTCAGATTCCTTTTTTTCGTTAGGCCTAGTTCCTTACTTACTAAATTGAAATAAGCTATAGGCCTATAGTAGAAGGTTTTGTATGGTCACGTGACTTTCCGCCATATTTGTAAGTCATTGTACGAAAGAAATGAGTTGACAACTTGATACTTCTAACTATTTCAAAATGGGTAAGGCATGTTTTTAATGTTCTTCTTTTAAAAAATGTACAAACTTAAGTTTTCAATCAAATGATAGTGATACTTGTTGCATGATATGCGGTGTTTTCATTTAAGCGCCAAAATATTTCACGTTTGGTCAGGAAGTCGTTGACAGATGATAAACACACCTTTCTGACAGTGTCCAAATGATGCATAATTTTAAACAACGAAAATTATTTTCCGAAACCATTTTTAATTATTTATTCAAAAATTTCTATATCCCCAAAGCTTGAATAAGAATTTAACCGCTTCAGGTGTTGTAAACATTCCAGAATCATGATGTCAACACTGGCCTTACCTGAGCAGATGAATAGTCACATTCCACAAAACAGAAACTTTTATTGTAGAGTAGTGTCATTCAACAAACAATAGAGTACTTGCTCTCGAAAAAAATCTCATAAGATTTTTTAAGTAGGTCATTCACAAAAATGATCAGATTTGTTGGGGGGACAATGTGACAGAAATACAGGAAAAGATACTTAACTTTCAAATGCCTAATTGGTAGTGTAGAGAGTAGTATATATTCAATTGTATGAAACATTTCAGTACTGATATTATAACTTCAAAACTTAGGTGTATTTAAGTATTTTAATCAGTTAATACTACTGAGTGAGCATAGATTTTAAGTGATGCACAGTGCATATTTCAAAGGGTACATATTTTAAAGCCTCTCTGTCAAAGTCTTTGCAATAGTCATTAAGTTCAATTTTATCTCGGTTCATAATGATCACTTGAATAGGAAGCATGGGATTTTTAAAAAAATGTTTTTGTTGATATGAAGATTTTATCATTTCAAATTTATAGAGATTTGATCAAGTGTTAAAAAATTTAATCTCTTCTATGTATTTCCTGATAGTTATTCCTGACCAAAAATTGCGGAAACTTTTTTTATCATAGCATTTTTTGCACACTAAAATTATATGGGCATGAATCATGTTATATAGTGTAATCCTTTTATACTATAAAAGGGCAAAATGTCACACATATAAAATAGTATCTCCCATGGTTTGTTGTTGGATATGATTTTTAGCCGGGCTCATTGCTCGAAGAGCAATAGCCGGCTTTTGTTACGGTGTTCAACCGGAAATGCTGCTTCCTCACCGCCAAATCAGTATAGAAGAATATAGAATGTAGTATGTATGCTTATATGAATATAGAATATAGTATGTATGCTTAACCACCTTTGAAGCCAGAGCTCCAGATAATTTTTTACCTCAAAGTGTATTTACTCCCTGATTTTCAAATCAATGCAGATTTTGCTTTTCAGCAAAATAATCTCAGAGTATTTTGTGAATCTATTGCTCTTTTGACATCCAATGTGATTTTTAACTTGTTATCGAAATAAGCGTTTTTAAAAGAGGAATGTAAAAAAAAAAAGACAGTTTCTGCATTTATCAATTAGGTTAATGAAATATATTATAGGTTTTGTTATATAAATTGTTGGCATCGATCGAGGTAAAAGTTTTAGAGTTACTCCCCGTTTGCATTAAAAGTCGCGTGGCGCTATTTATAGCAAAGGAGCCATGTGGAAAGCAAAAAAGCATTTATTTTCATAAATTAATAAAGGTTGTCGGCGGACTTTAGATGATATTATTGCTACAGAAAATGGTAAATAATATAAGAACTGTTTAATAAGCAGTGATAAAGGATAAATTAGACACCATGCGTGTTTTTGCGGAATTTCGACAATATCGACGTGTATGCGTCAAGAACGAAAATTTGGATGTTATATGAACAGTGGAAATCCGTGATATTTTCAATAATAATACGAGTATTTAATATTCAAATCTTTCTCTCGAACTGGAAATCGGCCTATGTTATTACGAATACGCTTATAAATCAAAATTTCCTTTTGATAAAAATTCAAACACTGAGCTGACCTCAATTCACTTGTATCATTCAATCCGTCGTACATGTACGCAGTACTTTCGTAGTGTAATGCTTATTCATGATTGCTAATGCATAATTGTACGCCCCGTTTTAATTTTTAATGCGTATTTCGAAAAAATCAATGCATATTTCTGCAAATACGCACCTTATCTGGAGCTCTGGTGAAGCAATACAAACATTAAAATAAACAAATTTAAGTTAATTACAAAACTCTCTAAACCCCAAAACATTAATGGTAATATACTTCCTCTCCTCTTCTTCAATTAAGTATTTGTTCAAAATATGCGAAAGGTTTTCATCAAGTCTCTGTCAACATCACATTCTATAAATAAAGAACCTTGTGTTATCAGGCTAACACTAATGCGGGGAGCACGTGACCCGATGCGCACCTTTATGCAAAACTCCCCGCTGAGGACCCGTCTGTGTATATACGTTTGACCTTGCTGCATCAATGTTTACTTCTGTAAGTGATGTTAGACCCCGAAACGATACATGTGATAAATTGTTTAAGCTGTTAAATTCAAACTGCATTTTATTTAATTTTTTAAACATTTTTCTTATTTATACTATATGCCATAAATATATTTTTGTGTTACATATTCTTCCAGTGTCTTGTTGTTATTCATCTGTTATTACAATGTATGTTTCATGTAAAACGGATTTGTTCACTTTTCTGTATATGAGCCCGGCTCTCTGTACTTCTGAGTACTTTGATTATCTGACAAGTTGTGTGTTTTCTATCGTGAACCTTGGCGAGAGGATAGAAAACAAACACATATCACATTTTGTTTTGCAGTGTACAGGTGTAAGAAAATTTTTGATAATTTTCATAATTAAATAAAAAAAAAAAATTATGAAAACTGAGCTAAAGTTTAACTCACAGTAAGTTTTTATAAGTACTTTTATGAAATGTTTTGTGAAAAACAAAGATTATGACTTGCTTTAGATGTATTAGTGTCAAATTATGTAATCCATGTTCAAAGATACATGTATTTTACTTCTTATATGAAAAAAAAAAATTCAAAAATGAGAATTTCTAACAGATAGTTAATTCCATTTTATATTCAATCAATATATTCCAAGGAAAAAATTTAATGGATAAATATTTATTATTGATTCAAGAAAAGACAACTGTGGTTTATGATAGATTGTGGCTCAGTCCTGAAATAAAGCCTTATTAGTTAAAAGATATGATATTTATTAAGAATTTGTAAGCCACAAATTCTGTAACTTGCATTAAGTATTCTATTGAAATACTAAATAATTTTTTCCCCTTTGCAGTTGAAGTCTTGGTGGAATTTGATTATGACGCAGAACAGGAAGATGAGCTAACCATTAAAGTCGGAGATATCATCAAGAATGTTCAGATGTCCGAGGGAGGTTGGTGGGAGGGGGAGCTGAATGGGAAAAAGGGAATGTTCCCGGACAACTTTGTCAAGGTATAGACAGGGGACCTTTATTGTTGGGGGGGGGGGCTTTATATAATTTTTCCCTCTTGAAAGTAAAAAAAAAAGAAATAAACATACTCATATCATAGCTAAAGTTCTTTGGTTGACCAAAGGAGGGTAGGTAGTAAAAGTTATTTTATGATTTTGCCTCTTTTTTTTTTCTTTCAATGGTTAATAGTGATTTTGAAGGATATTTAAATATATAGCAGATATGAATTATATCTGGGCAAACTTAACGTATTAAAATAACTTCTGGGGGTATTTTTCTTACATTAATGATTTCTTGGAGTGTTTGATGAATGCAATATCTTTGATATTTACTTTTTACAGATTTTTTTTTTTTTTTTTTTTTTTTTTATGGGCAATGTCAACATGTTTTGATGTGTTCTTTATCCCAGGTAATAGAGAAGAAAAAAGAAGAACCCAAAAAAGACCTTCTTGTTGCACAGCAAAGATCATCTGTCAAAGAACTGGCCAGTAAACTCAAAGATGTCCATGTAGGGGCAGCACCACAGAAAAGGAAAGGTATATTTTATAAATAAAGGCAGATGTTTAGGGCTATTATGTGTGTGGTCACTCCAGGTTAATCATCATATTAAAGATGAAACATTTTCTTTTGTTATACCCTTATAAATATCTTTCCATTTATTTATTACAAATAAAATTAAATGTTTTTTCATGGGTCTAACAATTTCATTGTTGACCGGTCTGTCAGTCCAACATAAGAATTGTTAGCAGGGCTCGACATTAACGCTTGTCCGGTACCACTGAAAAAAATTACGGGCAAGTGAATATTGCTGGGCACTTGTCCGATTGGACAAGTGCATTTTAATGTAAAGGAGTCTCTAAATAATTAAAAAAAAAAAAACGACTGTTGAAAGTTAATCGGTAGTTTTAAGACGGAAGCTGTACATAAAAACCGAACTTTGATCCCGATAGGGATCGCTATTGAGTTCACATTCAATCGGGATCAAAGTTCACTTATTGCATACTACTGAAAAGGCATGGAACTTACGAACTTAACGAAGTTTGGTTCACTTGTGGACATTTATGTTGTTGTCAGACCAGAAAGACCAAATAATTTTTTTTTTATGTGTTTGTTGTATTTATCAATAACATCACGAATCAATCAAGCACATGTCATGTGTAATGGACTTTATTTTAGTTTTCCAGTTGACAGTATTAGATATTTATTGAAATTTTTTCGGACAGGTGAAGTTGAAGTTCGGACAAGTAAATGTCTTGGTCACTTGTCCGAATGGACAAGTAGGAAAAAAAGTTAATGTTGAGCCCTGGTTAGACCACAATGTCACAATCTAATTAAAATTAGATGTTCCGAATCCGCTACCACTTCTCAAACATCTAACAACACCACATTCGGAGTCATGTCAGAGAGACCTTTCGATTATGAATAAACATAAAAATTTTGGCCAATCAGATTCAAGCCTCTGTATACGATTCTTAAATTAGTTTCACGGCTACATCTTACCATTATTGATGCTTAGTAGACTGTCTTACGTTGAATTAAAGTAATTTTGGTATAAATTGAACGTATAGTCTGCCAATCTGGCATTCTTACCTGAATAACACAAACAAAAATGCACAAACTATACGTTATATATCCCGCACGTCACATTGATATATAGCACGGTCTTTACCATGCATATTTTGTTTACTACGAAACCCCTAAGGTGTTTAGATTTGGCAGTAAAACTGAACTATAAGCCAAGATTTCAGAGACGGCGATTTCATTGGGTAATGGAAAGGTCGCTCTGACGTGACCCCGAATGGGATGTTGTTAGATATTTGAGAAGTGGTAGTGGATTCAGAACATCTAATTTTAATTAGATTGGCAACATCACTGCTGTGTCACAAGTAATTAAAGTCGTCGTTCAATATCGCCTGTGGCCTGGGGCAACAATTTTACCTTCAGGTCTAAGAAATCATATGTTGCCCTCATACCCAGTCAATATAACTGTATAATATTACTTAATGATAATAATAACAGTGTAAGTAATATGCCAGAATTTTTGCCCAGCCCTGATTTTTTTCTTTAGAAACTTAAAGGGTTTTTATCACGTATCTAATTTTTTTAAAAATGAAACACTATTATATTCTTGAAACATATAATTATCGTTTAATTATGAAATAACTTTGAAAGCAGTCATAATTAGGCGATAAAACGCCCGTAATATAGAGTTCTCAAAGTAAAAATCTCCACTAATTAGATTGGGGTCACGTGGTACTGAACCGTCATAGGTGTCAATGGTCAATTAGAACTCGTAAAGCTTATTGTAAGAAAAATGTATCAAATAGATTTTGACATTAAATAATATACACTAAACAATAAAGTTTGTGGAAATTTTGACATCGACGATTTTCTTTTAGTTATAGACAGTCAATCTTTTATGTATGAACATCTAGCAGAGAGAATTAACCAAGAAAATATGCTGACAATGGGAGAGGACACCGGAGATGAAGCCATTGACAACTCGGGACTTCCGACTAAATAGAACGAATAACTGAAGTTGAACCTCTTTAATATTTATAAATATGAGAATTTTAAATTCAACTTCTTCATTATTTTAATAAACTGTATATAAATATTCTATCTGTTCCAGTGAATATCATGTACTAGAAATGAAATTTCTTCAACACTGTTCGATGGTGCCATACACCATTACGAAGTTCACAACATTCTTACTAGCATGTACTAGATTCTGTGAGACCTTAAAAATGCGTGTTGAGTATTTTTTTCCATTTTAAAAAGACACCATGTCCTTAAAATATTTTATAGTACAGAAAAAAATCGTGATCGGGCATAAACGATTGTTCTAAATGGAGACAAAGCCCTTGCGTTTTCAGAAAAAAAGGCCCCCTTTCACTTCTCGACTTAGTCCAGGAAATGTGGAAAAAAGTCTTCCTAAAACCTTTCTTGTGCGCATTTGTGCATCCTAAAGCCACAAATTATACCTTACTAGCTGTCAATTATCCAATTATCACTTATTTATTTACTAACAGGTTTAATAGACACAATGAATGAGCCGTTTTGTATTTACAATAAGTACTATGCTTGACCAGGATTGACGTCAGAGCAATGGCGCATAGCATCGGCAATCAAAATATGCATATTGAGAAATTCAAACTTTGAATCACTGAAACATCAACAGTATTAATTTTCTAGCAAAGATTTTTAAATATATGATTTTAATTACACGTACACTTTGTCATATCAAAAAATTTTGAGACATGATAAAAACCCTTTAAGTATGAATATAATGGTGCTGGCTTAGACTGGATCAACACTTGAGGTACTCCTACTAAAGTGGAAAGTGTTCAAGTATGTTCAATATCTTGTGTAATTTTTTTCAAACTTCACAGGGAAATAATTATAGATGCTATCAGTGTCTAACATTCTGCTATAGGGTGGGACAATATCCTGTTTTACAACTTAAATAAATTTTATCATGTTTATAATTATCAAGTTTTATGCTAAAAAAAATACATCAAAAAATAAAACAAATAAATAACATGGCCTTTGCTTATGTATTTGAAATAAAATATGGGATCTTGAAGAAATAAGGTGGGGGATGGAGGGGGCAAAGCTTATTTACACTTACCTTAATAGCTAAATCCTATTGATGTTCCTTTTTTGATATGCTTAAAAAACTTAAGAAACTGTAAAAAAAAAAAAAAAAAAAAATAAAAAAAAAATTAAAAAAAAAAAAATGTGTAGGATTTGATAAGCAATTCTTAGGGAACAGCTGTAAATATTACATAATGGTAAAACATGTATTGATTTTTGTTTGTTTGTTTTAAAAGATCCATAAATTGATAAACCTAAGCATAATACAGCTGAAAATGTTATTTATCTATTGTGAATGATATCTCTATTGACTAGCATGTCACTACAGTATGCAAGGATTGATTTTTTATTAAATAAGCACAGTTTCTACATGTATGTTCTTGCATATATAGCTATATCATATTCCGATTTGAAAAAATCAAGGATACAATGCTCAATAGACTGAAAAAGTATAGAAGTTTTGGTAAGTTTGAAACTGGCTTGTCATGAATTCCAAGATTTAAAAAAAAAAATCAGAAAAGCTGTGTATTTAATGACATGGTGATTTATGTTTCAGACCACCACCATACGGAAAAGAGGAAAAAAGCAAAGGTCCTGTTTGACTATGAACCAGAAAATGAGGATGAACTTAAAATAGAAGTGGGTGATATTGTGGAAGTGATTAAACAGGTAATTAATGTTGGACATGACCAGATATTTTTCATCACACATGTCCTGCTATTGACAAAAAATATAAATTATTATTACCAAAATGTAGGTTATCTAATCATATGTTGAATATTGAAACAGGTAGACACTGTAGCAAAACTAAGATCAATAGATTATATATATATATATATATATATATATATATATATATATATATATATATATATATATATATATATATATATATATATATATATATATATATATATATATATATATATATATATATAATGAAATATTCTGGATGTAGAAGAGGAATTTCATTTCATTTTGAAATGCCCTTTGTACAATGGCATAGGAAAGAAATTTTCGAAAAAGTACTATTTTACAAAGCCTAGCGTCTATAAATTAATCAATTGCAAAGTACTAAGATTTGAAAATCATAGTTTTAATAATTTCCAGATAAAAGAAATTTCTTACCACACTTTTAATATATTTTGATGTGAAATGCTCTAGCAACATATAAATCATGATATTATTTAGAAAAGTTTGGAAAACATGAGAATCAAATATGTGTCCCAGACCCTTTAATGCTTTTTTTTTTTTTAAGGACAAATCGACAAATCACCTTATTTTCTTCATTTAATGATTGAAAATTAAATAATTAGGAAAGAATTTAAAAGTTACCCAATTAATACTCATACAACTTGGGATGGAATTTAATTTTTATAAACCACTTTGTAGTTTATTTAGCTAAAACTGCCCAAATCAAGGTTATACCTGTAAAACTTGGGTAACTTTAATCAATCCTTTATTAAATACGTAAAAATGGAACTTTACCTTATCATTAGATATGTGAAAGACTGACCTACATGTTTTGTAGGAAGAGGAGGGATGGTGGGAAGGTGTGGTAAATGGGAAGACAGGTGTGTTCCCCTCCAACTTTGTGGAGGTTATAGAGGAAGAGTCCAATGAAGTAGCCCCAGACACTCCACAAGGTATTAAAGAATTTGAATATCGCTGGCAGTAAGAAAATGTAGGGAATTTGAGATCTGTGGGAATATAGTTATTTTTTCATTGTTAGAGTATAAAATAATTTAAGCTGAGGGAATTTTTTTCAGAGATATTCTTAAACTTCGATCATTAAAATAAACTCTCAGATCATTGCTTTGTTCCAACCATAATTTGAAAATTTGCATTAAAAATTCATTTATTTTGTCCCCATAATGGGAAGAATTTTACTGTTATAACTAGCTAGTTTTACCAAGTACTTATACAAAGTTTATAAAATGGATTCACTGAATGCAGTTAAGTAACCTATTTAGCAAAAATTGGGATGAGATCTAGCAATGTAGCATAGCAGGAGGTTGATAACTTACTGATGTAACTTTTAGCAGAAGAAAAGCATGAAGTGAAAGGGAAGAAAGTGATGGGTGTAGGTCTTGGGAACATATTTGAAGGTGGTCCTATCAAGTTAAGATCCACTGCAGCCAGCGCCAAAAAACCTGTGGAAAAGGTAAATCAAACATTAAGTTATGATCTACTGCAGCCAGTCACAAAAAAAAAAAAAAAAAAAAAAAACATTGAAAAGGTAAGTCAAACCAGACCTGGGGTAATGTATAATGGTTATGCGTTGAGATTTAATTATTATATTTTCTAAATGAAAGTAATGGTAATTGTAATGTGTAAAGAAAAAATTCCAATGCAATTGTAATTTAGTGCATTACATTTGAAAGTAATTGATTCCAGGTTTGAATCTAACATAAATTTTCCCCTTTGTACATTGTTGTCATTTACAAGGTTGTTTTGAAAAAAAAGTTTTATTTGAATGATTTTTGTGGACCTGTTGAATAATTTTTGAATCGTTATTGAAAATTTCTATGATTAAAAATTTGATTTTTCATCAGAGAATAATTTACAATTTAAAATTGTTCCTTTCCTCAAGTCTGAAAATTAACTATGAGTAAGTGTAATTTATGTTATAGTTGGAACCAAAGCCACCTGTAACAGAGGAACCTCCAGTCCTTAAAAGGGAAAAACCAGGTAAATAATTAAATCTTTCTCCAAATATGGTGTATAATTTATATCATGTATAGTTCAGCAAAATTGCTAACTACATAGCATGTATCAATGCACGATTGCTATCTACATACAGTAAAACATGCTCATAGTGAAGTGCCAGGGACCAATAATTTTCAGTATTCATTATAAATGCAATTTGTTATATCCCATAAGCTCTTAATGAAAACCGTTTTGGTTTAAACATTGTAATTTACCTCCCAATTAGGTCTATTCCAGTAAAAATCAACCCTGTTTGTTTAATTTTATTTTATATTTAATTCAAAAGAACTTTTAAAACTGTTTTTCATGGTCAACACCATTGAATCCTTTCAGGCTTTCGATTTTCATACAGGAATCTTAGATAGAAGCTTTTTATTTATTATGAAAATTCTTGGTAGTGATTTTTATGTTATTGTAGAATCATTTTTAGCTCACCTGAGCTGAAGGCTCAAGTGAGCATTTCTGATCAAAATTTGTCCATTGTCTGTCGTTGTTGTTGTAAACTTTTCACAATTTCATCTTCTTCTCCAGAACTACTGGGCCAATTTCAACCAAACTTGGCACAGAGTATCCTTGGGTAAAGGGGATTCAAATTTGTTCAAATGGGGGGCCACGCCCTCTTCTAAGGGGAGATCATTACAAATTAGTGAAAAATTAATAGCATCTTTTAAAAATCTTCTCCTCAAGAACCACTGGGTCAGGAAAGATGAAACTCATGTGGAATCATCCTCAGGTAGTGTTGATTCAAATTTGTTCAAACCATCACCCCCAGGGGTAGGGTGGGGCCACAATGGACGATCAAAGTTTTACATAGGAATATATAGGAAAAATCTTTAAAAATCTTCTCAAGAACAGCAAAGCCATGATTGGCTATACTTATATGGGAGCATCCTCAAGTGGTGTAGATTCAGGTTTGTTCAAATCATGACCCCAGGGGGTAGAGCGGGGCCACAATGGACGATAAAAGTTTTACATAGAATTATATATAGAAAAAACCTTTAAAAATTTTCTTCTCAAGAACAGCAAAGCCATGATTGGCCATACTTATATGGGAGCATCCTCAGGTAGTGTAGATTCAAGCTTGTTCAAATCATGACCCCCGAGTGTAGGGTGGGGCCACAATGGACGATCAAAGTTTTACATAGGAATATATAGAAAAAAATCTCAAGAACAGCAAAGCCATGATTGGTTATTAACTATTCGGAAGTATCCTAAGGAAGTGTAGATTCATGTTTGAAAAAAAATCATGACCCCCTGGGGATAGGGTGGAACCACAATTGATGATTAAAGTTATGCATAGGAATACATAGGAAATTTTTTTAAAAAATCTTCTTTTTAAGAACAGCAAAGCTATGATTGGTCAATTTTTGTGGGCAAGCAAAATTGTTCGTGGGGATGTAAATTCATGGATAAGGGAGACCCACAAAATACACGAACATTGTTCCCCCATGAACGTTGATAATTCACAGTATATCTTTATAAATGGATTTGATAAACTTGTCATAAAATTGTACATAACAAATGAGAGGTTACAGCAGCTGCAGTTGTTCATCAATTAGTCCCACCTTGTTACAAAAATAATGACTCAGTTCTCCTTCTTGGAGTATGAGATGAAGTAACCAAAAAAAAAAAAAATAGATAAATAAACCAGGCTTGAGATTTTGTGTTCTTTTATTACTCATGTAAATTTGCTCTGAATTTGTGAGTTCTTTCCTGTCACAAGAAATTTGCCTGAAGTTTTCTAAAAAAAAAAAAAAAAAAAAAAAATCACTTACTGTCATGTGAGAACAACAGGCAGGGTTAGAAGGTACATTGTATTTCTAAAAGAAGTACCATGGATAGATATAAATTATTCACTTAAACAACCCACCATAGAATCAATGTATGCATAAGCACCCTGATGGGAAGAAGAGAAATGGGGGGGGGGTTAGATTTTGTTACTGGAATAGCCCTTATAAGCATATTTGCTATAACCATGTTTTACTGTAATGTAAAATTATTTCTACTATGGTAATGGTCATCCTTCAGCTCTTTCTGTAATGTCTGTTGTGCCTTCATAAGATCATCACAATCAAACTTTTTTCCCCCCAAAAGAATGTCAAATTGTTATGCAAGTGTCTGATCATTTGTAGTCATTATGTCCTTGCTCACTAAAAAATGTAATTTCTAGAAGTTCAAGCTACAGTGGATTTGTAAGCAGCTATAACATACATGTATAAATCCAAAATAAAAAATTGTTTGAAGCTCTTTGAAATAATTCAGAAAAGAATTGAAATTAATTAATTTCTGCAAACATTATCTGTACTCGCAGTAATGTATCACCTCAAAAGAATTTAGTAAGTGATTGTGGTGACCTCATGCTAACCCTCACCTTCTCATTTTACTTTCCTTCACAGTCCTGCATGCAAATCTTCCACCCATCCCAGTTCCTCGCATGTCACAGGTAAATATGTCCAATACCCATTACAGAAAAGCAACCCCAGTCCCCACCCCCAGGGGCTACCCTGCCTGGTCTCAGAGAGACAATGGACACAGTCCCACAATAAAATACAGACCAGATTACGCTAGTGCTGATAATGTTGAAGAAAAAACCAGTCTATTTCACCATGCTTATCAAAGGGATATTGAGCTAGAACATCTTAGTATTAGGCATTTAGTTCAGACAAGTGACCCATGTATACCAAGTAGTGTAGAATCAAGTAGACCCACTAAACCTTGTATTCCACTGTATGGTGATTTGCTTCAAAATACAGCTCTAAGGAGTGCCTCTGATCATATCAAGCCTATCATTGATATGTTTGAAAGAAAGCAGGCAGATCAGGACACGACAGCCAGTTCATTAGATGATTCCAACAAAGAGAATATTGATAGAGAAAGCTCCAAAATTTCCCCTGAGAATCAGTCCAAAATGAAGAGGAAGGCAGCCCAGAAGAAGCGTAGTATTCTGTCTCACTTGAAGTTTTTGCCTTTTAAAGCCAGAAAGCTTGACCTGATGGGTCAGGGTTCAAAGTCTGAAACCGAATGTAGTGGCGAATTTACACCACTGAGTGAAGAGACTCAGGATGAGGGGCAATGTATGAGTGTGCCATTCCTTCATAGCAAGAACATGAGGGAAGATCTGATGGAGGAGAGAAAGCCATTAAGACCCATTGCATTACATGATATCAATGATACAGATCCAGATGAATATCCATATATGTCTTCCAGTGATTACAGAGCTTTTACTCCGGAGTTTGAGGTGGATTATGATGACCATAAGGAGGACATGGAAGATGCTCCGTGTCAGGACAAAAAGGAACAAGAAGGAGCTACTTCAAATGCTCAACCATCTACCAAAAATGATAAGAATTTATCTTCTCAAAAGGAAACAAGGAAGTTATCCCCCTTTGTGAGTTCTTTAGCAGATAAATACAACTTAGTAGACTGGAGAGACAAAAGATGGAAGAAATATGTCAACATTGAGCATGGTATTGTGTCACCAATATGTAGTAAAGCTGGTCGGAATAGAAGTAATAATGCTGTGCAGGATGAGGATTCTACAATATCCATGTTCTTTGAGAAATCGTCTCCAGAGAAAACACAGTGTAATGTCACTGATGATCAGAGGGCAGCAAAATCAGCAGAAAATCTACATAAAGACAAGAGGACTGATCCAGTCAGGGAATCCATGTCAACTCAAGATAGCAGTAGATACAGTAAAGGTGGGGATCTAAGAGGGGTGGACAATAGAAGAAAGAAGTTTCCTACAACCTTTGTCACAGCTGCTGAGGTGTACAGAAATCTCAGTCCAGAGAAATCACTCATTCAGGATGACCATGCCGATAAACAGAAGAAGAAAGCTCACAGAAAGGGTAATGAGGAAAAGCTTAAATCCTCTGATGTAAAGAGTCCAAATTATTTGGAGGACATCTTCTCAGGAGCCAGTGCAATAGAGGAGGATCCTCTATCAACAAGTCTGGAAGGCTTGGACAAATTCATCCGTGCAAACATGGCAGATAGTGTGACAGATACATATGATGAAAATGAAATGTGTTCCCGTTCTCCAAACCCATGGGTATCCCCAAAACCTAAATATGACCTGAGACACAAAGTACAGAATGCTTATTTTGATGAACACCTTATTTATAAGTTTGAAAATTCTCTGTCACCCAAAAATCTAACAGAACAAGAAATTCTGGAAGACTTGGACTCGAAATTAAATGCCTATTGCAATGTGGAAACTCAAACTTCTGAGACATTGCTTCAGACAGATGAGTTTTATAAAGAAAGGAAAAGGAATGATGCAGCTCCATTTCCAGAAGTTGTTAGCTATGAGCCAAGTCTGGACCACAGTGATTGTGATACCCCACAGGTGACCCCTGGTAAAAAGTCAGCAAAAGCAAGGTACTCAAGTTCTCCCAAAATAAGGGCAGAGCAGCATGGTGACTATGACATAGAAGGTACAGCGGAGAATGGCTTGAACTTGGAAGTGATAGGAAAGAGATTGAAAACTTTAACTTTAGGTGATGATATTGATGCCCAGGTGGAGGATTATTATGATATTGAGGGAACAGAAGAAAATGGGATGGACTTGAAAATAGTTGGGCAAAAAGTCAGATTATACACACCAGATGAGGAAGAGAGGAGAATTGTTAGGCTCATGGAAGATTGTTCTGAAAAAAGGAAACGTCGTCTGTCATGGAAGAGGCTTTTCCAGCCCAAAGGCATAGAACCTGTGCAGTTGATATCATATAGGAGGACAGATATTATGAGACCACCCTTACAGGGAAGTCCTCACAAATCTGAAAGGTCAAAAGCAGCTAAAGAATCATTGAAAATGGAAGATGTAGATGAAAATGAAACCATAGTCAATGTTGTGTTCAGACCAGAAGATGTTACTGGTACTGTAGAAACTGTCTTCTGTCATGATTTTTCTGATGAAGAAGGGCTCAGTAGAAATTCCTCTCTTTATCCTGTAAACATTTCTCCGTCTAAAATTCAGTCGCAGTCCAATGAATCTCAGACTTCCCAGAGACTGATCCCCAAAGAATCTCCTGGAGCTTGTAACCTTGTCAAATACTCAATGGAGGATATAGTCAAAGAACTGGAGAAAGAAGGCCAGAGGATTGAAAAGGAATTTCTGAGAATAGCAACAGAGAATGCATATGATTTTATGGACTTGGAGTCAGAGTGTCAAGTCAATAACCCACACAGTCTCATGTACTTAGCTGGAATGGCATGCAGCAAAAGGTACCAGTTACTCTACAATTCAGACATTTTGGAAGACAGTAATGTTGGGGATAAAGGTTATAATTCCCATGACCATACACAAGAAGACAGTGAGTATGATTTATGTGTTGGAAGAAAGCACCTTGAATTCATCAAAGATGATTTCTCTGAGCCAAGCCGCAGTGAAGAAACTGTTGATGAGGAGATAGATCAGGACATCTGTCCTGATTCCCCTGGTCTGATTGCAAGTATGACTCGAGATGTTCAGAGTTTAAATCTCACACAGTCTCCCAATTCCAGTGATGCAGACATTGCCAAGCGAATAGACTCATTTCTTCGAGATGCTCTGAAACCAATTGATGACATGACATTTAGGAATGACACTTCTGATGATGACATGGGTGAAGACGAAAAAGAAAATCTTAATAACAAAGCTAAGATTAGTTCAACTTCTTACAGTGAAGACAGAATAACAAGCTACACACCATGCAACTCACCCTGTGTTGTTGATGAGGGTCCTAAATTTTCCATGGAATTTGAAGAGGAGGAGTGTAGTGCCCTGAATAAAAGTTTTACAACAGAGGATTCAGAGATGGATCAGTCGGTGAAAGAAGCTCTAGAGGAAGTGGAAGGTGTCACTCCAGTTCTGTTGGACCACCAGTTACAAGAGACGGAATCCTCTGATAGTGATGACAGAATTCATAATGATGTTGAGGACAATGATGATGATGATGAAGATAACACTAACAATAATTTCGACAATAATGATGCCAGTAACAACTCGGAGATGGTCTGTTATGGTAGGATAAGTGACCTCTACCCAGGGTTTAACATGATGTCCCCATTGATTGAGCAAAATGAAGGAGATTCCATGCTGTCGTCAACCTTCACAAGAGAGGAAGCCCAAGCAGAAGAACCATCTGGTGGATATGAATTGCGAGCATCAAAGTCAGACACTCGTAGCATAGACACCACTGGCAGTGACAAGTTCTACACAGATGTAGATACCAGCATGGATAATAGCGGCAAATTCTACACTGACCTTGACACGGATCTCGATGAAACAATGGAGGACAGGTCATTTGGAGCGTTAAGAAGGATAGTCCGGAGTTCCAGAAGTCCAGCTAGCAGTGATGATCATGGTGTGGTGGACTGGAGTATGGATGATTCCATTGAAGTTTGAAGTCTGTTAGAGTGTTTTATTATTGTTGATTAACTAATTCACTTAGCATATTCATTGACACTGAATGTAGATCTGGAATCTTTTTCAGACAGATTTGTTTGGTGTATTTAAATATTGTTAGGACAGTTTCACATTTTTGTGGGGATTCCCATAATGTATTTATACATTTATTACATGTTCATTGCATTCATTTTTATCTATTCATTGTAAATAGTTTAAAGATTATTAAAAAAAAAATGTGAATAATTTATATTGTTCAAATTTTTAATATATTTTGAAAAAGGTCATCACAAATTATGGATGGAATTTAATGTTAGTCTGTGTAAGTTTATGTTGCATGCATAACTTATTTGTATTTAGTGTTGTTCATGTTAAGAATTAAAGCATTAAATTCTAATGATTTTGTCCACATATTTTTTATTAATTTATGATTATTAATTTAATAGAATTTGACACATTTTTTCATAATATGGAGGAAGTGTATTGAAACAACAAAATATCAGGAAGCTCTCATAAAGGCCATATACATAAAGAATGCAAGTGAAACTTCCTGTTAAGGGAAACAGTCACTATATAGCAAATCCAGGTTTTTGCCTATCACAGTTCTGTATATATGTCCCATCTGAACTATTACGGTTTATATATGTCCCATCTGAATTATCACTTGAACACATACAATTTTATGAACTCAGGTGTATCTGAACCATTTATTTGAGCAATAAGAGACATGACCAGTGTAGAATGATTCATAATGACAAATCAGTCATAAAACCTGACCATGTGTTTAAGTCATGTGGCTATTGCACCTTGACATGCTGCTAGATAACCTGGGTAGTAGGTTATCTCCCTTACAAACTAGCCAGATGATGGATCAATACCTGCATAATTTACATATATACACACACAGTCATCCCTCTGATCCACTTGATATAACAATTAGCTTGGAGTCATTTTACAGCCCTCTTGAGACTGGAGGGGTCCTTGACCCCATTTTCCTAATTCTTAAAGTTCCCTTGAAGTGATCTTTTAGTAAAAATTTTACCTGTGAATGTTTGCCAAATATTTGACAAATATGGACTACAAAGTTTCCCAAAATGTGTGTAAGTACATGTACTTTGTTTGTTTATTGGTTTTTATATTTTGATCTTTCCTGGATTTTTAAGTTGTTAATATTAAATGAGTGTTTAAGAGGTATTTTTTCAAGTGACACTTGTTTTTACATTTTCTTTCAATACTTGATGATTATGTGATTATTTTTTCCTGTTATTTGTTTCTTCTTGTAATTGTTTTCCGAAATTCAGAGATAAAAATAACAATAACATTCATAATGTTGAACAAGTTTATTCTCCTAAAATTATCAACTGGTCTTCAACTTGCAATTTGTATTGTTTGATCACATTGTGTCTGCCTGGATCCCTTAATTATTTACACCTTGTCAATACTAATTTTTCTGGCTTTTCTGTTTCAAGTCTTACTAATATCATTGTAACAAGAATAACTATTATATCATTGTTAAAGTATGCAAAAAATCAATGATTGATGTCTATGGAACATTTACATACAGAAAAAGATCATTACATACTTAAATCATTAATGAGGATAGTATTGTATGATTCTTGTTAAAGTCGTTGTTGAATATCAGCCTGTGCAGTTACCAAAGAAAATGTATAAAAAAGATGATCCAAAGTCATATTCTAGAATTATAAAGTATAGCAGCTGTTCAGGTTTTGTCATAAATTTAGAAATCTACACATCAATACAATGACTAGGGCTGTTCTTTATTCCAATAGACTCATTTCCTTCCTTGTTTATCACTGGATTCAAACATTTCTGATACAGAATGGAAGCAGAAAACTCACGTAAATTAAGACAAAATTTATGTAAATTTAAAAGAATTGCATCTCTGTTTCAAATTGCAAAGCATAGATTAATTGAAAATTTTCTGTCATTTTCTTTAGCTACAGTGGAAAAGGCAGTTGTCCGTTATTCCTACAGTGCTGATAATGAGGACGAATTAAGTCTGAAGGAAAACGATGTCATAGTGATTCTGGACAAGGAACTGGAAGATGCGGGGTGGTGGAAAGGAGAACTTAACGGCAAGATTGGTGTTTTTCCTGACAACTTTGTAGAACTCATTCCATCAGAGGAGGTAAATATAACGGTCCCTGTGTGCAAGAGTTATCTTCTCCTTGCATGGATTATGCAAGTCAATTTGGAAAGTAAATGAAGGAATGTTTCTTTTGAATGAAATTGATTTTTTGGTGCATTTGATAAAATGTTTCTTTAATAATATAATGCTTGCTACAAATATGATTTGCATGCAAGGAAATTGAAGATATGTGCATTACACTTGCCAAATGGAAAAAAAAAATGAAACCTTATCCATAGAATTCTTGAGTTAGTGAAGATGAATTCACATATTTGAAAATGATATATATTTTTTTTCAATATGTCAACATAATACTGCTAATTAATTCTAAGGATTCTTTATACACACACACACCCTTTTCTGTTTTGATTGTCTTTGTTTGATGCTTGCTTGATGACTGCCATGGATATTTTCAGCAGGGAATAGACAAATTCTCTAGGCCAGTGGCTAGCCCCAAAATACCACCACAAGTATGTCTTTTGAGTTACCTCCCTTTTTCACTGTGCTCGGAGTCTCGTGGAGACCGGTGCTAGGCCACCATTATACACTCTGTACAGTCATGTTATGTTCAAATGTCAAGGCATATGGAAAAAATATGCATAAATTATTTGAAATTCTTGCTACAGTGTACTGAACGTTTTCACAACATGTAAGAAAAAAATATTTTAGGGAGATATCTTACATTCCCCAAAAAATTGTAAAATCAAAATTATCAAAATGTGTATGTAACTTTCATGTGTTTGGCAGCTGAATAGATGACTGTTAGGGGAATGTTTAGAATATATATAAATTTTTGTTATCAGTTTTGTTTTATTCAGTTCAACTAAAACACTAGAACATTTTAACTGGAAGGAGTTATAGGAAAGGCTTTTGCATGGAGGAAATAGGATTTTTGAGCACAGTGACCATGTTATTTTGTGTATTCCTGCTTGCCATTTTTCTCCCTATGTTGTTTGGCATTTTGGGATTCAAATTGGTTTCTCTCTATTTTTCTGTTTAAATCTAAACTTTGCATGACTTTTTTTTCAAATTTAATTTTCTTTTTGTGTTCTGTTTTGACTTTCTGATTTGAAACCCAATGTGTTGTAGCTTTGTCAGGGGTTTTATGTTGTGTATGGATAACCGGCCTGAAATGTACATCACAAAATGTTGACCGCTGTTTTTTGCAGGGGTCGCAAAGAGCTTCTAGTTACAAGGTAAAATTGTGTACCTCTCTGTATCACTGCTAGCAAGCATATCACCTCTAAAACACATCAAAGCAAATCTGTATACATTTATATCATGTACTATCCTTGCCTATGCTAAAACATTTACACCAGGAAAATATAATAAGAACAGCTATCATATACATGTATCTTAACAAGAGTTCTATAATGGTTTTTTATGATTCCAAACAGCACTTACAATAATTGAAGGGTTTAATTTCACAAAAACCTATCAGTATAATTCATCAGGCAAATTAAAAAAATGTTCCTTGACAAAACTCTATGTGGATACTCTACTGAATTTGATCTCACACTTGGGTTGAAATGTTGAGCAATATAAATTGATGTTTGATGTGAGATATTTGTTTCACATACATCATGTATACCAGTATAAGTATAGGTAACCATGAAGAATACATTCAAGTCCTTTATAAGTGCAGTTGAATTTAGTACTTGACTGTAAAATAGATAAGCTAATTTTTTCATACCTAACGGAGAGTATATAATGCACCTTTCACAAGATAGCATTTTTAACATGTTGAAGTCAACTTTTGCTGAGTAAATAATTATTGTGCATATAGTCATAAAATAAATTGTTTTATTAAGATAAATATTTGGGAAAAAAGGCACAAAATCAGTATGTTGTATTTACACAAAAAGGAAAAGTTCAGAAAACAGTTTTTTTCCTGTTTCAGTGTATTATAAGTCCAATGTAAACAGTGTTCCTATAAGTTAAACAGTGACTGCATGTTTCAATGTTTCATTGTATGACATATATTCAGGCTAAAGCATGAATGTGACTGCTTTTTTGCTCTAATTCATGGTGTATAAAATAGCAATGTTTTTGGTGCCATTTTGTATCATAGTGTACAAAGATCTCAATAAGGAAGAGGGAACAAGATATTCAGTGCATATATAGACATTGCACTTTATGTCTATACTTGTAAGTGTTGAATGTTATATCCGATCTTTGTCATTTCATGCTGTGTTTGGCTAAAAAGAATTAAAAGAAAAGACCAAAAGGAGAACTTCTATTGCAAATTGCAATTCTGCTAAGGACCATATTCTGATATGGGTATTATGTCATCTATTGAATATTCCCCTTTCTGTAAGAAAAGTTCCAAGCTAAAAGAAAGCTACATCTACAGGTGACTCTCGATGGCTCGAACACCGATCTCTGGAAGTTCCCGATCTCTCGAACTTCCAATCTCTCGAAGTTCTCTATCTCGAGAACCAAGACCTGGGTCCCGTTACACACATTTCATTGTTTTTTACTCTCTATCTCTCGAAGTTTTGATTGCGCGTGTGTACACGCCAATCAGGCGTAAAATTAATGCAGCTTGGACTTACCTGGATAACAGTGAACGACTGGGGCTGGCATGGAGGTGTTAATTGGGTGTTTACATAGACGACACTATACCTGTGAATATCCGAGTGTTGATATAAATAATTAATTAGTTATAATTGGAAAATTATAAACGAATTTCTTCTCAACTTATTTTTGACTTTACAGCGCGACGAAAATTTTTAGAAAATAATTTAAGAGGCGTGTCAATAATTTCCCATAGATTATGAAGTTTTATTAGAATGTACATAATCCCAGTATGACAAACATTGCACAAGAAATCCTATCTCAAGAATTAAATACCGATTTAATACGAGAAATATGGTAAAGTACCTGATCAAGCCGGGGGGGGGGGGGGGGGGAGGGGGGGGGTAGCCACACCGACGATTGCTATTCAGGTTTTATGTAATCATGAAATGAAAACAAATAAATATTGAAACTTAAAGACATCGTTCTATTTATTGAAAATACGATCGTTGTAGGCTAGTTGAAATCAAGTGCATACCTGTAAATAGACTGGCTTGCCTGTCTGATATGCGCGATATACAGACAGGTGACCAGTAATGTAAAGAGCCCTCTGCTGGCCGCGCTCATTGGCTGATAAAAACTCTCACCTACGTAGAAATTTAAATGTGTCGGGGAAACCAAAACAGATCACAGAGTGCAGAGATATCGGCCGTTTATATCGTTACCTTAAATTCTCCATGCGTACAAAAGCTGCATTGGAAAAAATAAACCGTGAGGGATGTTTTGAAACAAATCATAAAAGTATTGACACTAGTTATAATTTGCTTTTGGTGCAATCAATCTAACACGGTCACAATACTTTCCACATACAATACAGATATTCCCTTATTCAGATTTTGTTTAACACAAGTGTTAACATTCACCAGGGACCTATATACGATATACTTAGTATAGGCCTATAGGTCCCTGATTTCACTCACACATTTCGCTTCGCCTGAAGGTATTTTAATTAGCTTGCGAAGCTCCTATCACATTACATACCAGACATCACTTGGATAAACGAAAACTGCAACATTTGTTAATTGAAACTGACACATTTTAAACATTCATCGGTTTATGATGACTCATTGACTCAGTAGATAGCCATGACTTATCAGTTTATTGTGATTATTTCCCATGCTAGGGCGTAGAGCAGCGGCGATAGATGGCGCATCAATCAAGCCAGGAATTCCTGGCTTAGATGACGGTAGTCACCTGTCTCTTTCGAACGATAGAGACAGGCAATACCAGTCTAACCTGTAAAATACGAATGAAAACGTGCAATGATATAATCAACATATACTTCCGGTATTTATAATAGTAGAACAATGATGATCGGAACTGAAAATTCTGGATTTTATTCACTTTCTATCTCTCGAACCCCGTGATCTCTCGAACTTTTCTTGCGGTCCCTTGAACTTCGAGAGATTGAGAGTCACCTGTATATGTATTTACTGCTTCTAAAAATTTGACATTCCTAAATATTTCTGAATACTGGTATATAAAGGTTGTAATGTAGTGTTTTGATTCAAATCAAATGATAAATAAAGCTCATGATATTCAGGATATAAAAATTGACAAAGGCAATTAGTTATACTTCTACTAAACAGAACTTACAAAAGTGCTTATGATTGTTGGTGAAGAGAATGATGCAATAGTTTTCTTTGAAGATAAACTTTTTTCAAAATAGAAAATATTTTGGTTCTCCTGTTTTGGAGAGATTCTATTGAGGACTGGTATAATACGTTATGAATATAGAGGTACAAGAACTAACTCTATCGCTAATTGACTATTGGGGAGATTATGTTCAGAACACGACATTGCCTCAAGTTTCTTTTCCTTCTTTAATAAGTATTTCTCTGTTTTATACTTGTAATTGCATAATGTTCAAATATTTGATTTTCTTTCATTTCAATCTGTTGAAGTATTGAATAAAATTGAAGATTAAGGGGGAGATAAATGGTGAATAATCCGATTTTAAACCTGAATCATCATATGCATGAATCTTAATTCTTCATTTCATCCATTGTTGTAGCGACTGCTTTTTAAACGTTTGGCTTTTCTGCAGAGGGTAAATGTCTGTAGAGGTGTATTGGGATAGATATTCAATGTAAATAATTAATTAGTTGGGAAAACCTATGTAGAGGTATCTAGTAGATAAAATTGCTGGGTTTAAAAACATTCAAAATGTGCCCTTTAACAGGAAAGCATAGAGAGCATGAAGTGGATGTAAAGTGTACCTGTAATAAAATTTTTACAAATTTGTTAAATATTCCTGAATGTAAAATTCCACTGTGGTTAATAATCAGTTGTTGTAGATAATTGTATGCAATTTATAGAAATGGGTAAATAAAGCCATTTTGGGTTATTTTCCTCATCATATAAATATCATAGCTGCATGCATGGCTATCATTCATTTATATATGATAAAGAAAATTTGAATTTTGAATATTGATATTTTAAAGGATTTAGTATGGTTTGATTGCTGTTGATTTTTTTTTTTGTCTGTAGAAAATTATAACCAGTTTACCTAAGCCAGTACTTCGAAATTGAAGTTTTTTTCTATATTTAGCCTAAACCCAAGAAGCCTCCTCCCCCCTCTGCGGTGCTGAATCAACAGAAGACAAAATCACTGGAGAAAGACAAGTCACTGGACCTGAAACAGTCACCTGTCCTGGACCATGTGGCAGATAAATTCATCAGAAAAAAAGAACCAGGTATGGTATCAATAGGTTTGAGTTCATCTTGATATTTTCTGATGAACATGCTTTTTTTCAAATTTAATACTGTGCATTTTCATATCATTGATTACATATATTTTTATCTAGATGAAGATTTCTCTGATGTAATACTGTTCATACTTAAGATTTTAAATGATTTTCTTGATGAAATTTTGGTAGAGTCATACACTGCACCAATGATGTATCATGTATATAGTTTTGATATTGATAATAATGATTAACAGAGCCAGAGAAGCCAGGTCCTCCACTCTTGCCAGGAAAAAAGCCAGTGTTGCCTCCCCCTGTGGGGAAAAAGCCGACCAAGCCTGACCCTCCACGACCCACATCAAATGGGAAACCTTTTGTGGTGGGAGGGAACAAGGAGGAACCAGCCAGTCACAAAGACACTCACAAAGATATACCTCATTCTGGTGAGTTACTATCGATGTCAAGGTAGGTTTTTGTTGTGTTGGTGGGGGGGGGGGGGGGGGTATTATCCAGACAGGCAAGGTTTACTGTTTAATCATTCTTTTATTCACACACTTACAACTGTGGTTAATGTAAGTTTTTTCAATTTGATTAGCAAATACAAAAGTGAATATGCTAAAATGGAGCAAGAAATCTTGAAAATCATAACTTTCACATGGAAAGAACAACTTTTATTATGATGTAATACTTTCTTGTTTATGTATGCCCAACAAATTTTTCACAGAATCTCACTTTGATGGGATGGAACCCACCTCAGATAAATTGGTCCATTTAACAGCTAACAGACCTCGTGGACCATCAAAGAGGCCACCATCACAAGTAATATTTAATAACGTAAGAAGCTAACAGCTTTATTAACCAAGATTTAACACAGTATAGCAAGGGCTGTATTATCGATGGTTTTATTTATTGGCAAGATATTTTTTTGCACATGACTATGACTTGATTGAATTTCTTTTTATTTAATTTTTTGATCAATTATTGTGCATCATGGGTATTTTTTCTTAAGCTGGTTTAATGCTGGAATTAAAAAGGAATAATTTTATTATATTGGATTTTTGTATCATGTCAGTTTGTTTCAGTTTATCTGATTACTTTTTATCGAAAATGATGGAAGAAAAGAAGTGATTTAAGTTCACACATTTTCAATAATTTTTTCCAATATTTATTTTATTCTGAAGTTGCGCTCAGAGACCCTGCTAAGGTCTTGAATTAAAATGTATGTAAAATCAATGAATTATAAATGATCTATTATGAATTCTATTGAAACTCTCACAGTATAAGCAACCTGAGATAAATGTATAAATGGTGTTAGTTTAAAAATTTACCAAATTGGTTGTCAGGAAATTGACTTAAGCTTATATTTTTCCTTCACAGAAGAATAACAAAAGACTTATAGAGGTACAAAACTAATTAGTATTCTGCCAAGAATTTGACAAATTAATTAGCAATTCCTTTTACACTTCTTTGAATAATGTTTTTTTTCAGCATTTTCTGAATTAATATTTAAACAGAAAAAAAGCTTTTAACCATTTTAGCGTTATTTGCATTATAAATTACTGGCAGTTTACTAATTTGAAAAGAAGATATATTTTGCATTAAAGGAGTTCTGAGCTTATAGCAGCTTTGCTGTGATATTTTTCTATTAAGTATTTCCAGCACTTTAGTGTAAAAGCTGACCATCTAAACAATACACATTAGTGTTTCTTGCATAACCCATCTCTCTTTTTAAAGTATATTAAAAAATTGAAAATTTTAGTCAAATTTGGTTTTAAAAATGAACAGATTTTTTATTGTATGGGTTATTGGTTTTAATTTTGTTGACAGTGAAAATTTATTATAAAGGGTTTTCTCATGTAAGTTCTCAAAAATGGCAGTTATTTTGTTTTTAGTTAAATCTGACTATACCTATAATATATTAAGCATCTCCTATAATATTTTAAGAAAACTATCTCATGATAAAGAGAAATATGAAAGTATATTATGTATCTATAGTACTATATATATTCTTCAGTATAAACTGACATATTCTGCTGTAACAATCATTATACAGGGAAAGAGATTAGAAACGGGACAAACACACATTGAATGCTCCTGTGTTTTGTTATTTACATGTCATTTTGAAAGACATTTTTTATAATGCTCAGAGTTTGCTTTGGTAAAAGATAGGTTTTTCTCAGCATTTATTTCATAGTTGAGGGTTTAATGCTAGATTGACATCTTCTGATACTCATCAAATGTAATAGAGAACATGTTGGAGATTGAACAATAAGAAAATATAAAGCTAGAAAAAGTATGAACATAAGCAAAAATGTAGCAGAGGGTTATTAAAAAAGAAAAGAAGAAATTTTGGAAGTAGCAATATACATGGAGCTTCCCATACTAGTAAGTAAACACTGGGCTCTGAAACATTAGAAGAGTTTGATATAAATTTAGTAAGGTAAATTATCATTTATAGGAGGAAGAAAGAAATGGTGACATTGAGATCCATACTCACAAACATCCCCCACCTGTTAAAGAAATTAGTGAGGAACCAGGGGTGAGTTTAATGGACAAATGGTCCTAAAATGAAAATGGTGCAATAATTAATGTTTTGACTGTCCTGCTGATAGAAAGAATGTTGTTTACAGCTTTATGTACATGTACTGGCAATCTATTGCATACAATAAAGAACTAAATTTTGAATTAAAATAAATTTTTTAAGTTCAGATATATTTGCAAGGTACTACAAGTACCTTTAAACATGAAAATAAAATAAAGAAAAATCTTTTGTAGAGTCTTTTTCTGCTATTGTTATAAATGATCTGAGAAAGTGGGTAAAGAAAATGACAATATATTAATGTGTAAAAGTTTTTATGACCCCCAACAGTTTAACTACAGTTTAAGTGTTTTAATATAATAGCCTTAAGTATTATGTACACCTTTTAGGTACAGTTGCCAGCTAAAGAGAGACATCATCACCATCAGGCTCTTCCTACCAGGCCCCCAGAGCCAGCCAGACCCCCAGAGGCCAGTGTTGGTAAGAAAAATTATAAGGACTTGCTGGTCTATTGAAAATAAACTGATAAGAGGAAAGCTTTTATAGCAAGCATCCTTTTTCTGGTTTTTTGATTATAACAAAGTTAATTTTTAGCTCTTCTGAGCCAAAGGCTCAAAGAGCTAATGCTATGGCCATTTGTGCGGTGTGCAGTGTGCGTAAACTTTTTAGAATATGGGCCATAACTCAAGAACTCCTTGGCCAATTATTGTCAAATTTGTCACAGGGTATCCTTGGCCCAAGGGCTCCCTTTTATACTAAAACTGGGGTTGTGACCCTTTAACAAGGGGAGATAATTAGGAAAATAGAAACAAAAGTACTGGTTGCTAAAAAATCTTCTTCTCAAGAACCACTGGGCAGATTATCACCAAACTTACACAAAAGGATGAGGATATGTTGTAGATTAAAATTTGCACGGGGATTTACCCTGGGGCAAAGGGCGTGGTCTCAAGGTCACTTCAAAGTTGACCAAAAATTACATTTTATTAAAATGTTGATATTTTGCTTACTATAAGGACTAGGATCATCAAATCTTGTCAGTTGGTGCATCTAAGGACCTCATATCGTGTTGACTCAAAAGTAGGTCACAGTGACCTACTTTTTAAATTTTGCGGCCATTCTTTTTCAAAATGATTTAGAGGCATATTTTGAACAATTTAAGGCCTATGATCATCAAACTTTGTCAGTTGATGCATCTTGGGTCCTCAAAGTACGTCAACTAAAAAGTAGGTCACCTTGACCTACTTTTTGAATTTTATGGCTAATCTTTTTTAAAACAATTAAGGTCAATAATTCGAATACGGGGAGGCTTAGAATCATTAAATCTTGTAAGATGATGCATCTTGGGGCCATAAAACATAGTTATTAAAAAGTAGGTCACAGTGACCTACTTTTTGAACTTTGCAGGCATTCGATTTCAAAGCGTTTTAGAGGCATAATTTGGACATTTTAAGTCCTATGATCATAAAACTTTGTAAGTTGATGCATCTTGGGTCCTCAAAAAAGGTCAACTGAAAAGTAGGTCACCGTGACCTACTTTTCAATTTATATGACTATAATTAAATATTTCAGGTACTAATTGGCTTAGAATCATCAAACTTTGTCAGTTGATGCATCTTGGGTCTTCGGAGTAGGTCGACTAAAAAGTAGGTCACAGTGACCTACTTTTGAAAATTTAAGGCGTTAATTAAATATTTCGGGTACTAATTGGCTTAGAATCATCAAACTTTGTCAGTTGATGCATCTTGGGTCTTCAGAGTAGGTCAACTAAAAAGTAGGTCACCGTGACCTACTTTTGAAAATTTATGGCGTTAATTAAATATTTCGGGTACTAATTGGCTTAGAATCATCAAACTTTGTCAGTTGATGCATCTTGGGTCTTCAGAGTAGATCGACTAAAAAGTAGGTCACCGTGACCTACTTTTGAAAATTTATGGCTTTAATAAAATATTTCGGGTACTAATTGGCTTAGAATCATGAAACTTTGTCAGTTTAGGCGTCATGGGTCCTCGGAGTACAACAACTGAAAAGTAGGTAACGGTGACCTACTTTTGAAAATTTATGGCTTTAATCAAATATTTCGGGTATTAATTGGCTTAGAATCATTAAACTTTGTCAGTTGATGCGTCTTGGGTCCTCGGAGTACAACAACTGAAAAGTAGGTCACGGTGACCTACTTTTGAAATTTTATGGCTGTATTTAATATTTTCAGGAATTATTTGGCTTAGAATCGTCAAAATTTGTCAGTTGATGCATCTTTGGTCCTCGGAGTAGGTTGACTGAAAAGTAGGTCACGGTGACCTACTTTTGAAATTTTATGGCTGTATTTAATATTTTCAGGAATTATTTGGCTTAGAATCGTCAAAATTTGTCAGTTGATGCATCTTTGGTCCTCGGAGTAGGTCAACTAAAAAGTAGGTCACAGTGACCTACTTTTGAAAATTTATGGCGTTAATTAAATATTTTGGGTACTTATTGGCTAGAATCATCAAACTTTGTCAGTCGATGTATCTTTGGTCCTCGGAGTACAGCAACTGAAAAGTAGATCACGGTGACCTACTTTTGAAAATTTATGGCTTTAATTAAATATTACAGGTACTAATTGGCTTAGAATCATCAAACTTTGTCAGTTGATGCATCTTGGGTCCTTGGAGTAAAACAATTGAAAAGTAGGTCACTTTGACCTACTTATAAAATTTTATGATTATAATTCTAAAAAATATTTTAGGTATTAATTGGCTTAGAATCATCAAACTTAGTTGATGGGTCCTCAGAGAATGACAAGTGATAAGTAGGTCACCATGACCAACACTCAGGTACTAATTGGCTTAGAATCATCTTGGGTTCTCAGAGTGTGAATTGGAATTTCAAGGGTTTGTGTAAATATACAGGATACTTCGAGGCTTCAAATAGAAGTAATAGGTTGTACAGTTTATCAGAAGAGCGATTCAAGGCCCATGGGCCTCTTGTTGTTTAGTACAAATTAATGACATACAAAGGATTGAATTTTATGTTTAAAAAATTGTGTCATTTAATGCAGACAAAGTCCATTGGTATTTTGATATGAAAATCACAAGAGTTTTTTCTAGGCGTTAGATAATTTTTAATTCTGGTAAAAATCTTAAAACTTTTATTCAAATTTAAGGGACCCCCCCCCCCCCCCCTCCCCCCAAACAAGGAAAAAAACATTTTGATATTTATTAATGTGAATTGACCACATTCTGTAATATTCTGACAATCAATATCAAAGTCAATGATATTTTGTAAAGTTCAAAGTTTAAATTGTATACATGTAATTGTGTATGTTTAATGAGGTTGTTTGAAATTGTCAGTTACAGAATTCACAACGTTATTACATTTTTATAACTGAATTATGGTAGATATGTGTAAGAGTTCATCATATTAAAGCACTACCATTCCAAGCAATATTATGATTCTAAAAAATCAAATTTAAGAATTTTACATTATCCATATAAATGAGACCTGCAAGATTTTCCCAGAAGTTTTTTCTCAGTAAATCTCTTGGCTTGATTAGTATCAGCAGCTCAAAGTTTTCTATCCATCATGAACAACGTGGAAGGAAAATTCTAAATCTGGATAATGTTATGCTAGATGATAGGAATTCACACTGATGATTGTGAACTTCCTTGTCTGTATACTGGACAGTATAAATCCGTTTGGGATATTCCAAGTGAATTTTTGTTCTTTATGAAATTAGAATAAAACTATATGATACAAATATATGCTGAATAAATTTTGTTTTTTATGGCAAATATAAAACTTAAACATCTTTAAAGGATCGAACTGTAATAACTTAAAACCATGGAAATTATCTGGTATCTGATACTTGTAGTTATTTTAGTTTTTTTTCGTAAAATTGTAGCTTCATCAGGATTGTTAGCGATGGTTGAGGAACTTAAAAAAGAAATCAGGGAACTTAGAACCAATAGTGTTACAAAAGCAGCATATGATGAACTCAAGACCGAAAATGATACACTCAGACAAGACTTTGAAACCTTTAAGACTTCCTGTTTACGTAAAATTAAAGACTTAATTAATGAAGTGGATGAAGAGAAGAAGATTCGTCTCAGTACAGAAGTGGAAATGAAGCGGATTAAGAAGCTCGTTAACGATGAATCCCATGTGTAGATGCCACCTATCTTGTTTTCAGAACTGTGATTCAAGGACAGTAACTCTGTCTTTGGAAAGCAAAATAATATTTTCCTGGGATGTGATGGAGTTGTCAGTCTTAGACAGGTTCAAGCAAAAGTCCGTGGAATTTCTTTTCTCTTTTTTACCCTGGCACCTGGATATTAATAAATAATGCTTTGAGGAATAAATAAGAACTTATCATTCTTTTTATGTGCTTCCATGTTATTATAAACTCAGTGCTATATCTGAATTTCTTTTGAATCTCACTGGAAATTATTGTGATCTGTTTTTGAATTATGTTAATTTTTTTTTTTAGTCAAGGAGAAATGGCACATGTTGAATTGTTGTTCTGTGGTCAGATACAGTAGTTGGCCAGTTTAAAAGGTCAAAGTTCAGGAGGTCACTGTAATAAAGACCATGTAGTGCTAGCACCTGTTATATTGCTTCACTTTGTGAATTTCTCTTCTATGTTGGTGAATGTTTCAAGTTGGACTGAATGGGTTGTGTTTACTTTTTAATGATAAAGAAAATTAGTCCTTTAATTATTACAGATTATATATTATTATTTCACTATTTGATAGCTGTAAAATAGTGGGAAAAAACTTTATTCAAAAAGGATATTTTTTTGTCCGTAATATTATGATTATTTATGATATGTATCATACGAGTAGATTTTAGTGAGTTCACTTTTTACAGAACCTATGTATACCTAATGCCCATTAAAAAATTATTGGACCCATCTTTTCATGTTTCATACGGGGTTTGAATGAGACTGTGTTCTTATGATAGGGCATTTTCCTGCTGTAGATCCTAGCTATATTCCTCAATAAGACTTTTTCATATTTTAATGCATTTATGTAATGTTACAGAAGTTTTCAATGTAAAAGTGCTTGAGAGAGATAATGAATGATTATCATGTCTTTTGTAAATGTAAGTACATTAATTATATAAAAAAAAGATCAATAAGGTATACTGGAAATTGAGAGCCTCTCAGTTTGCATTAGAAATGTAAACTAGTTCCCCAGTCCATTCCAGAAATCTGGTTCAATAATTACAGTATCCGTGACTATATATTACTGTCACTAGGGTAGGGCTATTCATTACAGAAGTAAATCCATTGAAGTGTCTACGCATACATATCAAGTGCTTTGTTTAGAAATTTGAGCTTCATGATAAGCTGAATTAAAAAGTTTTGTATCTTATTGTAGCCACAGTAAATACATGTAATTGGAAATAGAATAATTGGGATTTCATAGAATAATTGGGATTTTATTTTTATCATTCCAAAATATATTAAAGTATCGTCAGGTTTTAATTGTAAAGTTAAGAGGTGTGGCAACTATATTTGTACAATACATTGTTAATGTAAACATTTGCTTAAGCAAAGATGAAAGATTTACTACTGTTTTTCAAGTACACAACATGACTTTAAGCATCTGAATATTTACATAAACTGATTGTTAAATCTTCAAAGTTTAATTTGAAATTATAAAGGTGCAGATTTTATGATTCTAGTGCAAGTTATACTGTTTGTTTTTAAATTTATTTAGAATTGGAAGTTGACCTGTTTTTTGGGTCAATCGAGTGACATTGTAGAATGTATGATTTAGTGGAATATTTTTTTTGTCTGTTAAATATCATGAATTACAGATCTAAAACATTTTTCTCCACTGGTACACTCTGTGTTATAACATTATAATGCTTCAAAATGAACAACTGATTTAGCCAACTTTCCCAACTGAGGCCAACTTTAAAATAATGTTTGTTTGCCCTCTCCTGACTCAGGATGAAAATTTTGGGTCGATAGGTAGGTATGAAATTTTTTTCTTCATAGAAAAATTCATATCAATGCTGAATTTTCGAAATCTGTTTTCAGGAATGCATAAAAAAAATTATTTCATGGAGATTAAAAAAAAGTTTTGAGTCGGGCCATTTGTAGCCAGTCAGCCGGGAGAGGGCAACCAAACAATTTTTTGAAAAATGGCCTGATACATGTAATTCTGAGAAAGTGTGTATGATGATGTGTTTACCATCTGTGTATAGGAAAAGCTCTACCTTTCATTCACTGCCATATACTTTTATTCCTTTAAAGGATCAAAGTCCTCTTTAAAAACTTCCATGCTAAGAAATTATTTTTCTTTTTGTTGATTTTTGTAGTATTGAGAAAAAAATATTACTTCAGTATTTGATTTGATTTAGAACAGATATTAAGCAGAAGTCCCTAAATCCATTTTGTCCAGGAAAACTTTTATTTTTTTGCATACTTTCACTAGTCCTTACACAAAAACCAAGTGATCAAGAATAATGACGGGTAGAAATTCTTTTTACTAATCTTACCAAGAAACGGGGATAATATCTCAAGGTATAGCCAGTAGAATTGACATGAAAAATATAGGTAATTTACAATAGTTCATCCCGAATTATGCAAATGACTTTGTTAAGATAAAGTAGATATTGGAACCTTCTGAATGTTTATTCACTCATAGAGTTATAGTCTCCTTTACTTCATAAATGTTCTGGATAAGTCAGTACTAGTTGATATGAGTCAGTTCACCACACAACAGGAGCATCGACATCCCATAAAGACATTCCAAACAGACGTGTTGTGAGGGGACAATTGTGTACAGTATATATATATATATGTATTTATTGTAATTAAATACCAAACAAACGAAGAGTTTCTTGTCTTTACATACAGCGCCTGCTGTTTGTGTATTTGAAAGATTTACATTTTCATTTCATTTGCAAAAACAGAAAATGTGAGATCAAGGTCATTTAAATGTTCAAGGTCGAAATTTAGACACGGAAGAAATGTGCGGTCTACCTTAGAATTTAGATTGGATTTTGGAGGGATGTACAGCGACTGTTAGAATTTCGGGGCGTAACAGGGGTCTGATTTTAATCAGGGATGAAACTCAAAATTGAGAATGTTTGGTTTAATCAATAGCAAGTTCACGAAGTACTACATGCACAGTAAGATATCCATGAAGTTTTATATATACATGGTATTAATTAAACAGAAAGTGTCAGTGCTTATGGATTTTTTTAAAGGTGGGAGGTCAGATCGAGATTCAATGCATCAGCAATGCAACAATTTTTCACTGGTATTGCTTGATGTTGCTAATTCTGGATGTTTTTTTTTTCCGAATATAGATCTACATTATGGAATTAAGCCAATGCCGTAAGGATCCTTCATACTTTTTACAGAAAACTTGCTTTGTTTGGGATTCAGCTAAATGATCTGTGATTTACAAATCTAATGGTCATGATCTGGTATAGGGAAGGTAGAATTCTTGCCGATATTGATTCTAAATGACCCCAAAGCCAGACGTGATGTAAACATTTTAATCATTGACCCTGTGCACATCGTTTATCTTTTTGAGATGTATTAATTAACCTTAAGAAATCCTTTACCATGTTTAAGAAAAATTAATGTACAATTTGAGGAAACATGACGTCAAATTCATAGAGGATAAAACGCAGAGAATTTTGGAATGCATGGCTAATGTTCTTGACGTTATGCAAGATTACGGGATTTTTACACAGTGGAATACATGTAGAACTGAATGGTGTAAAGTACAAGAAATATGAGGTGTTTGAGTTGATATCGTTTGAATTGCTCTCACCGACATCGATATATAGTTTAATTGGCAGAAAAGAAAAGTTCTTTTAAAAAAAATCATCTCAACGTAAAGGGACAGGAGGACTTGTAAAAACTATTATATTTTCTTTAGCATCTACTGTATATGTAATCGCTAATTTCTGAATTCGCGAAAATTCTTCATCGTCTAAATTGTTTTTCAAAACGTAAATTATTTATGGTTTCTCGAGTTCGCGAATATAATATTTGATCGAGTACGAATACTAACACCGCCAGTGATTTTCCTATTTTAATTACAATGTGTACTTCTGCGAAATAATGATATAAGTAGGGTACATGAGGTAATCGATGCTCATTTAAATCTTGCAGCCTTTGAAAATTAAAATCCAGAACATGTTTAGTGTACTTCAGAACAATTTTAACAACTTAAGTTTTCAATTATCTCACGAGAAAATAAGTGCACTTCAATCTTATGGGGTTCTTGTATATCAACTAAAGAGTAAATGCATAGGACAGGGAATATTTAAAGATTCAAGTTTGTCTGGCGGGAAGTCGTTTATAGTAGAGGCGTTTGACAGGTACAATTTTACAATCGATCCATTGAAGACTAAAAAAAAAGTTAATGAACCAACCAATAATCACTTCAATGTGTCGGTAAAAATGTGGTCGATTTTTTGTCGCTTTGTTGTCTTCTGCGAGTTATTGAAGAAACTGCTTCCTTTTCTTGTGATGGGACCTTTTTTGAAGTTTCTGCACTGTAACCCCGGAGCTTTGGAAGAAAATTAATAGCACACGCATTAGGCTAACATTTACTGGAGTGTCACGCAATTTTGTACACAACCGGTGATTTCCTTTCTTGATTCGCAATATTTTGTTTTCGAATGGTAAACTAAAGAAGATTTTAAACAATAGTTAAGTGTCTTAATCCTCATCCGTACAATGGCTTCCTTCAGCTGTTATCGAGACCTATAAGTATGCTTTACGACAGAAAATTTGGTTAAGAATTCAGAAGAGGATAAATATGTATCATTGATGACCATAATTAAACCCCCACACAATAGATTTACGATGGGCCAAAGAATTCCGTGACGGGTGACAGGACTGGATTTAGACCAGCAGACGATAGCCATGGATGAACGGGAGAGGGAGATCATCAGAAAAAATCATCGTCTGCTCGTCAGCAACATTATCCTGACGGAGGAGTTCTTCGAATGTTTAAGGAACTACCATGTTCTTCCAGAAACTATGATCAAAGACATCGAGGTAGGTGGTTCGAATGAAGTATGATCAGTGTGAGAAAAAATGTTTTGAATGCAACTGAGAAACTTCTGTTGGTTGCAAAAATCCTTGTTTATCTATAATCTCTTTGAAATTTGGATGAACAATTTATGTGAGAAAAGTAGTTTGTATCGTGAATTTCCAATGTTTTAAAAGTCATGTGTTCCGAAAAAATATGTTGGGGGAGGGGGGGGGGGATGTCTCCGGCTGATTATGAATAGTTTATATGTCTTTTTCTAAATGGAAATATTGATAATACACAATACAAAACGTAAACTATATAGTGTTATACATGTACATTTATTTTAAAGTACGAGACTGTTTTATGGGGCATGGCTGTCTCATACAATTAGCAAATTTCCCCAGCGTATAGAAAGGATTTATTAGGATGATCAGTCAAATAACAGCCTCCCGTTTCAAACCAAATATCCACATGCAAGGGCATATATTTGAAAATAGGTAAATAGACAAATTAAACAGCACAAATGATAAACGTAAACTTCCTACGTCATATGTGGTATATAAGTAATAAGTAAATATAATCGTTCATTTCGAAGATTGGTAATCGAGTTTGGTGCTGCAATTTGATGGAAAGGGAAGGGGCCAATTATACACTGAGTTGGAGATTTATTAAATACCTAACGGAATAGTCACTGAGTGTTTTATAAAATCTATAATGATATGATGTATTTGAACAAACTTAGAATCCCTCCTCCTCTTAATGAGTGATTTTTTTTCTTTCAAAAGTTCCTCGTCCTAGCTGTTCTGTACAAATATCATGATTGAAATTTGTGTGTTTAATCATCTAGTTTATCAGGAAAATTGTGTATTTAATAATTTAGTTTGTCAGGTAAATCTCGTTATCTTAAAAATCAGTTTTTAATTCGCCTGCATGTTCTGGAATTTCATTCCATGCATCATATTCAAGGTTTAGATGATTTCAGATTCTGTATATATACATTGCATCCAGTAACACTACCCAGAATATTGTAATTAATAACGTTTAAAAATCTACTCCAACATAAAACCTAGACTCAGCTAACCGAGTTCTAAACATTTCTTTCCAGTACAAAATGTATCTAGGGACTAAACTTGGCACATACACAAATGTTTGCGATTCTATTCACTTTTTACTGGATTCTATACTATTTTCTTTAGAGAAATGGCCAAGGCTTTCACCTGCAATGGTTGTAGGCGAAAATAAGCCTGTCTACTTCTCTAAAGAGAATAAAATCTATGTGTACATGTATATAGGTTCAGACTTTCCAACAAATTTTCAACTTCCTTTAAACCAGTGTTTCACAAGTACATTTAAAACAAACATTGAAACTTTTTTAGTAATTCTTTGTCTAGTATTGCTGAGTATTTTAGTGAGTTAATATATAAATTTGACCGACATATCCCTCTCCTACCCCCCCCCCCCCTCTTTTTATAAGCAGCGGATGATGCGTTGAAAAATGTGTATATTACATGTTCATTAATTTTGGGGAAAATTGCCCATGTCATGTGTAAATTTTGAATTTACCAAGTGGCAGTAAATACAAAATAAAATACCCTTATTTCCAACTTTTAATCATCAATTTTTGAATTTTCAATTGGAGGATATGTCCTTCACATCATTGGATTCAATTATATTTTCCATTAAATCTTGCTGTGCATGTCTTTTAAAACATTTAAAACAAAAACTGGGAAGCGGTGCACGTATAATGCAGAAACGCTTTCGATCTGCATGTAGATTCTTTAGCATTGGATTAATATTCGACTAAAATTAGATTCATCTTTATAAATTACATCCCAGTAATTGTTTTTGGAGGGCATGTTCGATTGTAACACACAGGAAGAGTGTATTACACGGATCAAACTGAAGTATTATTCCAGTGCAAATTGCCTGCGGTTCAGATTTACTTTTTTTCAATTGCACAAAGATTAATGTACGACCGGAAACCTATGCATATTGATAGCAGTTATACAAGAGGCTCTGCAAATAACGAAAAAAGGTTGAAATAATACAACTTATTGTTCTTTGATACAATGTACTTGCCTTGTATTGAAAAAGGTGATGATAACGAACAGTGGTCAATATCATAAATCCAGTAAATAAAACAAATCGTGAACAGGGCAAAAAGATGGACCCCTGGAAACACCAGAGGTGGGATCAGGTGCCTAGGAGTAAGCATTCCCTTTCGACCTGTCACCCCGCCGTGAGCCCTATGTATAGTTGTACTCCATAGTCAACAATGACTTAACAAATGGTATGAAGTATATCAGACAAAATATGACCAAATGATAGGTTGTTTTTACAAACTATGTCATTATAACGACCACAGAATTTGCGAAAAGCTAACTATAATTAAACGGGATTGTTGAAATCCTTGTAACATCAATTTATTTGTCAGTAGCTTGCCTTGGTTTAAAAATTGATCGTATTCAAAGCATGCTGTTGTGTGCCGAACCAGTTGGGAGACATAAACACCGTATACAGGTGATGTTGGAATATTCCTACATAAACATGATAAATAAGGGAAGTTGACGATGGAAAAGCAGAGTCATCCCATTTGTCATACAGTTTAGTTATAAGTTGGCCATTATCATCTATAGTCAGTAAAACATCCAGATATGAAACAGATTTAGCTGACTCATAGTGTCTTTAAATTTATTTCGAGCTCAACGGGATATATCTATGGATATGAATGTCCTATGAATAAAAGTAACTACCGGCTTTGTTAATATTGATAAACCATCATCTAAATGTCGAGTTGAAGGCCACATCAAGAGTTTTTTTCTTTTCATGAAAAAGCTTTTGAATACTAGTAAATCCTGCTTCATAAGAATAAAAAAAAAGAAGTCGGCTAGTAAAGGAGCACAATTAGTACCCCATCAGTATTCCAACATATTGTAAGATCTAGGGCCCGTTTTCCAAAGAACTTACGACTAAGACAAAAATTTAAAAATTCTTCTCGTAACTTTTCAATTTACGTTATATTGAAAATGGTTTTAATCTTTTTAATAGGAATTAAGTAAAATATTTTTTCACTAGCAATTTTAAAAAGAATCATTAATTTTGAAGAATTGTACAATCAATTTAATTTTTTGGTCTTAGTCGTAAGTTCTTTTATAAAACGGGCCCCTGGTCTCCTAACAATACATACATGTAGATATTATTAATGAGGAGCAACAGCATCTTTTAGTATCAACTTCAGAGTACTTGTAGAATCAGAATAATTTTTTATCAAAGACAAATGCCATTTGGGAACAAGTACACAATTCTGTAAGGCTTAAGGTCATTATTTTCAATTTTTTTCATTTTTTGTCATTAATGGCTTAAACATCCCCGATTGAGATTAATTTCGACAAGAAATTCCATTAAAGACTTGTCAAATACAAATTAAAGTCCGTGAAGAAATCAATGCTAAATAAGACAAGGATCAACTTAGTACCAGATATAATGACCATGTCATGTAGATTCTTAATTAACAATATTCAATGGACAAAAATACTCACACGTGAGTATGCTGTTTATACATTTTTTAGTAGTAATTGCATGGCTAAAACAAGGGTGTTGTCAGTAAGTGAATGAAACCTTCTGGTAACAGAAATGCCAATTGTAAACTAACTGGAAGCATTTCCGTTACGCATATAAATTTTTACTTGCACGTCATTGAATAAGCCCCCCAAGATCTAGATAAATAACGATTTAATGTCAGTTTTTTTCCTTTGTAGAACGAGTCGAGTAGGGAAAATAAAAACTCTAAATTGCTGGAACTCTTGGTTCTGAGAGGATGCGATTCATTCCGGAAGTTGCGTCACATTTTACATCTGACGGGTCATTGTCTTTTGGCAGACCATCTGTATGGAGAAGGTATGCAACAATGAAAGAAGTACATGTACTACTATTTATCTTCCTGAAAGAGTGTCAAAGACATTTTCTTGTGGTAAATCTAATGATAATCTTTAGTAAATTTTCAAAGGTCTATGATTTCGAACACGTACCCGATCAAATTCAAATACCCGATCAAAGGAGATGGGCGAGCAAGGCGTGCAAAATGCCATAGCTTCAAATTTATAAAAATCATATTCAATTTGGGAATTTAGTATTTAGAGTAAAGTTTTTATCATTGAAAGATATGAAATTCTGACAAACGAAACTTTTCTGTTAAAAAATTCTTTCAACAAAAATTATTCTATGATTTACCAAAAAAGTGGCATTCTCGGGGTATGAACCCAAGCAATAAAAATCCAAAGTATCAATTTTCCCTTCGACTCTAACACGCTAACCACTAAGATATACCGCTCACAACAAATACATGTATCGGCATTTAAATCGTGTTTGTGATATGACCCTTGACTAAACGGACTTTTGAATATTTTTCTGAAAGATACGAATGTTGTATCATAAAAGTATACTTTTAATGTATAGTGCGTCTTTGCTTCATGTTTTTGTTAACCAAAGATTGTATATTTTTACACATACTTTTGGTATAATCTTTCAAGAAAATGGAGGTAAGACCCACTCATATGGGAAAATGATGTTTTAGTTTGAAGAATTGATCATTTTTGTCCTCTTTGGTGTATACATGTATATGCTATTTCATTGACGAATATTATTTCAATCTTTGTGAGATTGTTGCGATGTGAAGATTTTACATAAAGCATACATTAATGTTAAATGAAGTATCAAAGTAAATCTTGTCATAATTGAGATTTAATTTTTCACTTCTTCTTTGTTGCACAATAGGCATTTTGCTCGCCTTGTTCGTCCATCTCCTTTAAAGAAACAATGGCAACTGCAGATTCAGGCCCGTAGAACGCGGGGTGGGGGTGGGGGGGGGGGAGGCCCGGCCTCCCACTTTTTTCTGAATATAAATTTTGCTGTAGTAAATTTTCCTTTAGATGCTGAAAGGTCGAGCACAGGCAAATTTCAGGATTTGGACACTAAATTAGCTTTTTTTTGCTTGTCAGATAATTTTGGGAAGTTGCCCCCCCCCCCCTCCCCCACACACACACACATACACACTTTTGGTCAGTTAAGATTTGTTTTTATTGCTTGACAGATTTTTTTTTTGTGGGGAAGTTGCCATCCTCCCACTTTTGAAACCGTTGCTACGGGCTTGAGATAAAATGGATTCATTATATATTTATTGAAAAGATGAAACAAAGAGGATTAAGGTTTCTTTTAGGGGCGCAATGAAGAAAATTTGAAAACTTTAGGTATTCAAAGCAGGTGACCTTTTTATGCATGGTTCAAAAGGTTCAGAAAGTTTTGCCTTTCACAAGCAGAATTTTATCAGTGTAAACTATTTTAGAGTCTCTGAACCAAAATGAACGCTTGCCGTAGCTCTACAGAATCAGAGGTAAACTCTGTAGGGGTATATAACGTCCACATTACTCATGTTTCCAATTTCTAGGAGCTGACCTCAAAGTTATTAAGGCAGATGAAATATTTAAAAAGTATCCTTCCATTTTCAACCAAGTCCCAGATGAAATGAAGATGAAATTCATCAGGACAATTGAGTCAAAGGTAAAGAGACGCGTGAATCTGTACTTGATTGGGTATAAAACTTGTTTTTCTCTGACAAGAGCATCAAAACCCATCCGTTATAAAAAAAATAACACTTTTATTGTGATTTCCTCAAAGATGAAGGAGAAATCCCTGCTGAATATGTGGGAGAAATTCCCAGAGGAGCGAACTGAACTCCTTGAAACACGAAGGGCGAGCTTTGAAACAGAAAAAGCCTTACGATTTAAACTCGACAAGAAACAAAAGCAGGTACGCAATTCTTAAAACTAGAGACATGACATGCTTTGTAAATTCTGTTGCCTAAAAATACGCTCAAAATTGCATTAGGTATACTTTATTTTTTATTTGAGTACTCGAGACATGGACTATGTATTCTGTTCCTTTTAACAGGTTCGCCAAATCTCGGATGAGGTAAAGAAGTTGAATGTGGAACTGCGAAAGCGAAACATTGAAACGGAGTTGATGAAAAGAGAGGAAAATGAACGAAAGAAAGCATATAAAACTGAACTCGCTGTTCAAGCTAAATTCAATGCTGCCAACAGCAATTCTTTGATCAAGTTGAAAGACCGATTTACCAACTTCAATGGAAAAATCAGGTCTATAAATCTTATGTTAAAGAGATTTTTGGAAGAAAGTGACAGCAGTTTAATTGAAGAGGCAGATTATGTTAAACTAACAGTTCTGGAAAGAAACGTGAAATTAGTGATAGAAAGAGCACGTGACAGCAAGGAAAATGCAGATGACATTTTAGACGAAAAACGGAGCATTCTCCAACTTTTGAATACTTTTCCGAAGAAGGAGGAACCTCTATCGGAAACAGTTCGCAAATACTTAGCCAAAGAGGAAAAGGTGAAAGTGGCAATTTTCAGAGAGTTGGAAAGATTGAGATCAACGGTGAGGGGATCTAGCAACTACCAGTCATCTACACCGGTGACAGATCTTAAACTACTGCGCAATATGGCTGCCACTGTTCGCGTGGAAATTGAACATTTGCAGAAGAAACTGCAGTGGAAAGAAAGTCAGATATCTGATTTAATGGAGAAAACTTCATCTCTGAAGCAAAATTCCCCATGTTTCTCCGAGACGCCTGTTCTTGAGAAAGCATCTGAAAACTCAGAATCGCTCTCATCGTCACCAGAATCGACCTACGAAATGCAGAAGGCCTACGAAAACTATGACGACTACCTCACAACAGAGGTTAAAGAATACAATCCTCATCTTGCCATTTTTAGAGAGGATAACGACAACTTTATTGAAGAACAACGTGATGCACTCGTCAAAAATAGTGATTCCAGCATCACAGATCTCTCAATAGACATCGTTCCGAGGACAGGCACAGACATTATAGTAGGTGAATCAACTTCATCCAACAAGAGACATGCCAAAGACGGAGATTTCGAAGATCTTCAGCATCATAGGGGAACCCCAAACAGTGTGGCGATTCGTTTAGATGTCCGACATGATAAACCTCCCACTAATACCTTGATCTTACCCGATATCATGGAATCAGACATGCATAGACATGGACTCCTAAAGTCGTCTGCTGATCTTTCCAAAATCTTGGAGAACAGCGAGGACAACGACGAACTGGAAAAGATAACAACAATTTTAGCGAAACGAACGCAGTTTGGAAAATTACCATCTATATTTCAAACGGCTAGCTACCTTCCTGAATAGAAACTCTTTGAATAATCTTACCATTATGGCAAATAACCTTGAATTAAAAAAAAACAAACTTTTTAGTTATCTTGCCAAGAAAACTACATTTTGGGATGACTTATAAAATAAGTCATTTCATACATTCAGCATGCAAGTACATGAAGTACCTTTACGTACATTAAATTTCACAACTTTATTAGTATAATGTATTATGTTATTCATAAAACTTCAGACATTGTCTTTGCATATTCTCAAATTCAATTTAAAAAAACATCACCACTTTTTAAAATTGATGAACTTAATAACAGATTTCTCAAGCTAAAATGTTTATGTATAGTGCACAATGCATCTTATTTTTGATCATAAATATGTACCAACTAATAAACTAATAATTAATATGGATACAATGTATGTAAGATTTTATAATGGCTTTTGATATGCAATTCGGCAATAACCATTGGAACAGAATATCTCTCTTGCATTCAAGAGGCCACTGTTCAAAATTTTACTGGGAATCATTACTGGAAACAGTCCTGAAATCAGGAAACATATTCAAATAAAAATTTGATAATTTGTAAGATGCTTATTAATCATAAACTGAACTCAAATTTGGTAATATGGAGAAATCAGGTGATGAAATCTTGCATCTTTACACTTCAGATTTCAATATCATTTAATAGGAACACAGAGATTTTGACTCTTGTTTCAGGTGTTTTGTGACACGGGGCACAGAAATTCTGGAGATCACTGGTATTCTGGTCAAATAAACTTGCCCTCATAACAACCCATCTTTGTTACTGGATTAAGAATACATAACACAGATATACAAGTATATTTATCCTTAATGGTCAGAGACCAGAGGAGCTTAGGTGTTGATAAGGTGTCTGGTTTTTGACTGATTTTGAACCGTTATGACATAAGAATAATGGATTTCTAAAAGATGACGAAATTGTAGGATTTCTTTGGTGTTCAAATGTGCAAGTTTGTGCCTTTTTCTCTATAAATCTATACAAATTTTTGCCCATATTTTAATGACATTATTACAAAATCTTACAAATTTCTGACTTTGGTTTGGCAAACATTATTTTAGTTATCTATATGAACATACATCTAATAGATATATATTGCTGATTTCTGTAAAGAGTTTGTTCATGTTATTTATCCTTTAATTCTATCTGTAAGAACAGTCAAACATACAGATGTGTGCCAAAAGTGAAGATAATTTTATTTTTTCTCTATATATTTCATTGAAAATCACATATAGTTAAATCGCTGGCAAATGGTCAATTTTTGTGTAATTTCATTATTTATTTCAGTACTTAAACCAAAAAATGTGTAGTTATTTTTTTTTCTAAAAGATCATTACATATTTAGTTTTTAGAAAAAGATAGTTCATCATTTACATCAGTTCTAAAATTCAAGATCAATGTTGACTATATAATTCATTGTGCATATATGACTTAAATTTTCATGTTGCACTTAAATTACAATATTTTTTAAATATCGATGCTGATCAGATAAAAACTATTGTTTTTATCAATTATAACAATTTCTTGGATTATCGAGAAAACTGTGGTAAAATCTGTCAAGAAACGTTGTCATTCCAGTGATTTTACAAAACGATGTTTTCAATGAAATATATAGAAAAAAAGTAAAACTATCTTCACTTTTGGCACAATCTGTAAGTACATGTAATTAAAGATTACAGATTCTTTTAGTGAGGCAAAGTCCCACACTAAAGTAATAATCTAGTTGTGTACAACCCTAGCTAGGTGCAACATTTATGCAATTTTGGTCTGATATATAGGGCTTGCAGTTACTTGGAAATGGACTTGTTCTAAAAACTTGAAACTAGGCACTCATCCCGAAAATCTAATACAAGTTTAGTATCTGAAGCAAGTTTGAGAGTGTTCATCTCTTGATGCATCACCTGGGTAGGGCTTGATGTTACACTGGAACTCATCTAGAAAATGTAGGTCAAATCCAGTATCCCAAGCAACTCTAGTAGTGTGCATCTCTTGATCCATCATTCATGTAAGTTTGGTTAAAATAGGCCATACAGTTTCTTGGACCTGCTCCAAAAACTTTAACCTGGTCACTCAATGACACTCATCCAGAAAATGTATGTCAGATCCAGCATCCGAAGCAAGTCCAGTAGTGTGCATCCTTAGATGTATAATCCATGCAAGTTTGGTCAACATAGCACTTATAGCGAGCGCAGCGAGCGGCGCGAAGCGCCGCTCGTCACTGCGAGCTCTAACGACAACGCCTGGGCGAAGAGAAAATTCGGACTACTGCACATTCATTCAATAGAATTTTTTTCCGCAGTAATTCTGACCCACAATGCATCGCTTCTTGTTCTCGCTGCTAACTTCGTTCACGCGGTGACAACAACTAAAATCTCACAAAAAATAAACTCACCTTAATTTAATGGCTATTGCATGCAGATAGTAGATTAAACGTTCTTTGTTAAATATTTGCACTTTTTAAACTGTGTTTATGGAAATGCAGCTAACATACCACGTCATGTGACGTCACAGTTTAGACGTTCCAAATGTCTCGTGCGGTTTGAAGAGGAGGATCTTAAAATGAAGTGAACAATGCGCTCGCCCCAGCGGTCGCACCGTCAACATATTACAGAAACTTCCATTTTATCGGATAGCGGTTTAACGAATATTTCGGCTATTTCAATATAATATCAGAGTACAAAACCATTTCTTATATATTTATTAATAATTTCACCTGATATTCTGATGAGAAAATATTGGAATTTCGTTTTATCCGATACAAAAATTTAGACTATCATAGTGTTTTTTGATAATCAGCACCTTGTTCACACCTCCAACTTCGTATGTGAAGCCTTTGTTTAGTACACAGTTTGACACCAATTACCTTGACTGGCTTGAGTACGACAATGAGGGGATTAGTTACGGCTGGACGCACACAGGCACCTTACCTGTGTCAATAGTGGGCATAGTAAATAGATATGTTTTGATTACAGTTGTGGTGATCAGCTTGGGTTCAATGATGCACTTGTTAATTATGACAATTATTTGCAATTTTTTCGGCGTGAAATTTATTTATTAAACTGATTAGCTTGTGTATGACAATTTACTTGGATAATGAAATAAGCCTATTCAATCGTTTAACTTGGTCAATTGGCTTAATATTTATTCACTTTTCAGTGCAAAATTTATGGTAAAAATAATAAATGGACCGTTCTATAAAAATACGTTTCAAAATTCATACCATCTTTCTCCACATGGCTCTCAAAATCTCTCTTCAGCAGACAAGAACGAGACTGGTAAACTCACACACAGTATAAAATACGTAACCGTATTAAAGAAACAAATAAAAACGAAACAATTACATATATTTAATATTTTTGTTTATTTTTAATTTACAATCTATCTAGGGAAAAATAGTTTACGGTTATTAATCAAGCATTTAGTCTACTTCCGTTTCCAAAATGGCGACCATCGAAGAAGGAATGTAAACATGTGCTGAAGAAAGATGGCAATAACTATCAAAGAATATATTCTATACGTCAATTTATTTGAAAAAAAAATTTCATATTAAATTCATAAGTAAGTGAAATAAATTATTTTTAGTAAAGTTATTAAGTAAACATGTCAAAAGAAAACGAATGTGCAAGCTGGAAATTTGCTACGATGTATTATCAATACATGTAGCTCTATGCATCTATCTTTGGACTCGGTATGAAGCAATCGGCTATTCTAATTTTCGGCTATTCGGATAAAACAAGGCTGACAACTTGACTATTCGATAAAACGGGAACCACTGTAGTTACTTTTAAATGAACCTGCTCCAAAAACTTTAATGTGCTCCAAAAACATTAACCTGGTCATTCTGTAGCTGAAATTGAAGCATCTGAAACCTTGACTGGTACAATGAAACATAATAGAAGCATTGTCCATGCATCTCTGACTAATATAGGGCATAGAAGTACTTAAAAGAAATCTGCTCCAAAAACTTTAACCTGGGATGCCAAACAGATGCCGAGGGTATTGCATAATCTCCCCCCAACCTCTTTGAGGTGAGTTAAAATGAAGAAATAAAGCTATTAGATCAAAATTCACTATTTTATTAAGTAACAATCAACATGAATCAATAATTTCTGTTTGTAGAATAAATAACTGATACAAATTTGAATCTCATGAGTATATGCGGAAAAAGACCTGACAACAAGCCATTTCTATCAATCCATCTCCAACATACAGAGCCATATTGAGAAATTACAGGTTGATAAACAAGACAAGTTACACTATAAGGTCTATGGGATAGGGCATCTGCATCGCTATGTGACCGACCAGCTCGATGCTCAATCTTAAAAGTTATAGGAGGACAGTGATTCAAACCATATTGCTAGCTGACCTTCTGGGTTTTTAAAGTTTACAAAATGTCAATGACCCATGTTCAATTCTAACCTTGAAATGTTTTCCATATCAAAAATGATGGAAATGTTTAACTGAATTCACTACCGTGTCGCTAATATATGCTGCTCTCTTTGGTTACACAATAGCAAAACCAATCAACATGAGGTTTCATTCTAAAATAATATTATAATATAGCGGTGAATTCAAGAATTACAAAAGTATTTTAAAATTCTTTTTTACTGAAAGCGACACACTGGTTACTGGGTATTCTGATTTTTTTATTTGAAGGGGTTTTAATTGGACAAACAATGTAGTTGAACATCTCATAATTTTTTTTCAAAATCCTTAAGTGAAGACTCATGATATAGTTCATTTGTACAAAATACATGTACTTCAAGAAAACCTTAAGGACATACCCACCTATCTTACCTACTAATAATTTTTCAAGATATTCTTAATTTGAAATTATAGTACCATTAGATGTTCGCAGACAAAAAATCAGTGTGCATTACCAGGGGTTTTGAATAAATATCAATTAATGAAAACTCTTGTATTATTCAAAGAAAAATATACAAAAATTACTAAACATATATTCTAGATGTTTTTTCATCTAAATTTGTTTTGGAAGAGGTGTACAGCACCATATACAGTGGTTCCCGTTTTATCGAATAGTCAAGTTGTCAGCCTTGTTTTATCCGAATAGCCGAAAATTAGAATAGCCGATTGCTTCATACCGAGTCCAAAGATAGATGCATAGAGCTACATGTATTGATAATATTTCCAAATTTCCAAATTTCCAGCTTGCACATTCGTTTTCTTTTGACATGTTTACTTAATAACTTTACTAAAAATAATTTATTTCACTTACTTATGAATTTAATATGAAATTTTTTTTTCAAATAAATTGACGTATAGAATATATTCTTTGATAGTTATTGCCATCTTTCTTCAGCACATGTTTACATTCCTTCTTCGATGGTCGCCATTTTGGAAACGGAAGTAGACTAAATGCTTGATTAATAACCGTAAACTATTTTTCCCTAGATAGATTGTAAATTAAAAATAAACAAAAATATTAAATATATGTAATTGTTTCGTTTTTATTTGTTTCTTTAATACGGTTACGTATTTTATACTGTGTGTGAGTTTACCAGTCTCGTTCTTGTCTGCTGAAGAGAGATTTTGAGAGCCATGTGGAGAAAGATGGTATGAATTTTGAAACGTATTTTTATAGAACGGTCCATTTATTATTTTTACCATAAATTTTGCACTGAAAAGTGAATAAATATTAAGCCAATTGACCAAGTTAAACGATTGAATAGGCTTATTTCATTATCCAAGTAAATTGTCATACACAAGCTAATCAGTTTAATAAATAAATTTCACGCCGAAAAAATTGCAAATAATTGTCATAATTAACAAGTGCATCATTGAACCCAAGCTGATCACCACAACTGTAATCAAAACATATCTATTTACTATGCCCACTATTGACACAGGTAAGGTGCCTGTGTGCGTCCAGCCGTAACTAATCCCCTCATTGTCGTACTCAAGCCAGTCAAGGTAATTGGTGTCAAACTGTGTACTAAACAAAGGCTTCACATACGAAGTTGGAGGTGTGAACAAGGTGCTGATTATCAAAAAACACTATGATAGTCTAAATTTTTGTATCGGATAAAACGAAATTCCAATATTTTCTCATCAGAATATCAGGTGAAATTATTAATAAATATATAAGAAATGGTTTTGTACTCTGATATTATATTGAAATAGCCGAAATATTCGTTAAACCGCTATCCGATAAAATGGAAGTTTCTGTATAGACATTAAAAGAGCAGAACACAGGTCCTTCAAGTATTGCAATTCTTTTACTCCAGGGAAAAAGACAATAGTGTTCAAACTACGTTGTGTACGTCCTTAAGTTCAAAACATGTTGTATAAATTCTCATGTATTTTTTCAATGCTTTCATGAAACTGGCTTAAAATTTCAAACATCATCAAATCTTATTAATAAAATCTTCAGATAAACCATAGAATTTTTTTTTGTGTGAAAAAGTTAACAGTTATGTATTTTTCTAATCATAAAATCTGGTTTAATATAATAAATAGAATCCAACAATATCAAGGTATTGTCATTTTTCCACACCTGGTAAAACTAGGATACACTTTGTAGGTCTTTATGAAAGTCCTCCTGTATTTTAGCCATCAGCCCTGGTTTGGACATAATGTCTACAGCCGTCATTGCTAAGGATTTTGCTACTGCCAGGCTGTAACTCTGGGCGATATCTGCTCCTGAAAGATGAAATTTGAATAATTCTAAAAATAATTCTACTTGGCATACAATGAATTGATTTCAGCAATGCTCAAGACAATAGTTAAAGATATTGTGCTGTGAAACATTTGTGATAATTCAGTTTAGCCAATAGTGTGTATATACGTACTTATTTTAGGGTGCATATATGTATTTAAAATCTAGCACAAACCTACTCCATGATTTACCAGTAATTGACACAATCTTCAATTAACCCTATCAATATTTTTCTCTGCATAATACTGAAAAAAGGTCATATTTTGGTAGTAGTAATGAATAAGTATATTGATCAAACCTAGTTTGAAGGTCAAGATATTTATATATTTTGAGAATATGATGCAAAAAGTGGTGGCAATAGCTTGGTGGGATATAGAATAGAGTAAACAATCGTGCCAAAGGCACCAAAATAGGAATCCTTAAAATACTTTTAAATACCATATTTATTATGCTTATATACATGTAGATGTATTATTTTGCAGGCTCAGAATGACAAATTACAATGAAAAAATGTATACTTTGCTAATTAATAAAAACCTTTAGTTTCCATGGTGAACTGACCTGCAGCTGTTGTAAAACCTTTGGAGTGATTGCTAACTGTGGTTCCTATGTAGAATTTTGGGTGAATACTGGGAACCACATGAGAGACGTTACCCATGTCTGTAGAACCACCAAACTTGGTGCGTATTTCCTCCCGCTGGTCAAATTCAATCCCCAGATGTCTCCCATTCTCCTCAAATAGTTCAGCCATTGTATTATTGGACAACAGAGCCTGGTAATGTTTCTCAGCAAAGGTGTAGCTAGCCTGTAATCACAAAATGTGGTCAAGGTGTAGCTGGCTTATTATTACATACAAAATGTGGAAAAGGTATAGCTAGCCTATTATCATACACAACACTTGGTAAAAGTGTACACTTAAAATCACATACAACATATTAAAGCTGAAGCTAGCCTATAATCACGAACAAAATGTAGAAAAGATGTAGCTAGCCTATAATCACATAAAAAATGTGGTAAAGGTGTAGCTAGCCTATAATCACAAACAAAATGTGGTAAAGGTGTAGCTAGCCTGTAATCACAAACAAAATATGGTAAAGGTGTAGCTAGCCTGTAATCTCATACAAAATGTGGTAAAGGTACATGTATAGCTAGCCTATAATCACATACAAAATGTGGAAGATTCATGAAAGAAAACACATAAAATCTTTTTTTTTATAAAATCAGTTTGAAGAGTGTACACATATTTTCTTGTTTTAAAAGCAAAACCTTGTTATATCAGTCTGAATAAAGCCAGTCACTAGGGGCTGGCTTTAGTCAGACTGCTTGTTATATGTATTTGCCAATGATATTTCAAAACAATAAAATCTATCATTTTCCTAAAATCACTTCTATCCATTTGAAAGCTACACTCTCCCCAGAAATGGGACTACTCCCTGCAACAAAGACGGCTTAATGTATTTGCAGGCAAAGCTTATAAAGTTTCAACCAATAAAATTAATTGGTAGGTATGGTGTTCTTGGTGCAGGGAGATCTAAAGTTTTTAGATCCATTTGATTACCTTATACATTTTGTTGTTGATGATGCTGTTGTTGAATAAAAAAATGTATGAAATTTTATTTCTTTTTCTTCACATTGCTGTAATTTTTTCCTTCAATATTGTTTGAAGAATTGGACTGATAAACTTTTGTTTTATTCTGTTTCATTATAATAAAACAAAAAAAGACACAGAACTGGAAATTTGGGAAACAACAATTTATCATTCCTCCTTTTGGAAAAGCTATTTCATATCGGAAAATAGCTAGGTTTTAATCCCAAGATGATCATATACATGTATTTGAATTTCCTTTACTGTTAATAGTAACTCTATTGCTATCACTGACAATTCTGTCATTCCCAGCATGTATGGTATTGTGAATAATGCCTGTTTTATTGTGTATGTATCTTATCAGATTTTCTGTTTACTGTGTGTTTTCAGAAAGTATATTATTTTACTGTCTATTTCATGAAATATCCACAGCATTCCAAAGTGCTTAAATTACAGATTAAGAGAAAAGAGCAATGATTTTTTTTTGTTAACAATTACACATGTAATTGAAATTCAAGAATAACAGATATACAGTCAAACTTTAATTATTATCTCGAACTCAATGGCCGGGACAGAAAAAAACCCTGAGATATCCAAGGATTCAAGATAACAAGGTTAACATACATAAACTTCCAAGTGACTTCAACATATCCATGGTATTCTAGATACCTCCGAGATATCGGAGTTCAACTGTATTATATTAAAAAAAAAAACAAATTGAATGGCACGATCTGAATAAAAAGTACATGTATCTAAATTATCATCAATAATTTGGCAAGTCCATAAAGAATTATTTAGTTGAAATCTCAATGCCCAGTGATAAAATTAGTCAACATTGAACACTTTTTGTTTTGTCTGGATATTTGTATTTTTGTGTTCCTTGGGAAGACAATAGTATGCATATATCGGGACATGTGTCTATCCTATCATATCATGCATGTATTGGATTGTGTGTGTCCTCTTCTATCATACATGTATCTAACCCTTTCATGCATCATGTCATAAATATCACTGCAGGTATATTTACATTGTACTACCATATATATTACTTAAGAGCAACTGCAGAAAAAAAGATTCATTTATCTTTTGATCTATTCCTGTATGTTAAAAAAAGATTCATTTATCTTTTGATCTATTCCTGTATGTTAAAAAAAGATTCATTTATCTTTTGATCTATTCCTGTATGTTAAAAAAAGATTCATTTATCTTTTGATCTATTCCTGTATGTTAAAAAAAGATTCATTTATCTTTTGATCTATTCCTGTATGTTAAAAAAAAAAGATTCATTTATCTTTTGATTTATTTCTGTATGTTAAAAGAAAGATTTATTTATCTTTTGATCTATTTCTGTATGTTAAAAAAAAAAATATTTATCTTTTGATCTATTTCTGTATGTTAAAATGAATCTTAGGTATGAGGATATTTTTCCTTGTGATATTTGAACCTACCAAACACACTCTCCTATTGGTTGGATATTTAGGAGTTAAATTTTGGTCCAAATCTCTATTTCAGACTTATAAGCATTCCTAGAAACATCGGGTATATGCCTTAAATTTTTCCTGCTCAGATACACAGCTGGCTCCAGCCATTACAACCATTGTTTTTAACATAGTTTGAGGTATTGATTGTGAGATCACAATGCAGCTGCACATGCACTGATCCTCCGGTGAATACGGCTTCAAATCCAGTGAATATGTTGTATTATGAAATGTTTGCATTTGTATACATTATATAGGGACTATTTATAGACTATATAATCAAATAGAATATTGACATAAAATTTGCAACAGATTCTGGCAAGAAATTGTACCTATGTATATGAGGGTCAATTGGAAATTTCTTCAAAATAATCTGAAAAAAATATGACAGACTTATAACTAAAGCAACTTATATGCAAGTAAGCCCTGACCCAGCCCTGGCTCCGGGGCCATAATATTTTGACGAGCTCACTTTTGATCTCAGTCTCCCTTTTACCAAAGGAATTAATAGCAGAAAAGGTGAGACTGAGATCAAAAGTGAGCTCATCTTAGTTTTATGACCCCGGAGCCTGATGTCTTTAAAAGTTGCTTAGGAAAGTACAAAAAAGACTGGAATCAGGATTCAGTGGTTGAAGCTAGTCTTCTGAAGTTTTACCTGACACCCTGTACAGAGGGCAGCACCATTGATACAATCTATCACCTTCTTCTTGAGGACTTCCAGTTCCGCTTCTGATGGTGTTCTCAGGAAGAATTCCATCTCCGTTTCCTCGGGTATTATGTTTGGCTCTGCACCTCCATTACGAATTACTCCTAAGAAAAGCAATCAAGGACAACTTAAATAATTATATTTCAATCTCTTAAAATGACTTGATTTATAATGAATATCTGAATTTACTGATGTTTAAGACTATTCAAAGAGATCTGAATATGTATAAATTTGTTTATGCTGTGTGATGTAAAGACACTGTAATGTCATTCTCTTGCAGGCATGCTAAACTGTTTACATATTTTTTTTTAAACCATTTTTGCTGCATATTATTGTTTAATGTCAAATTTGGGGGAAAAAATTTTCAAAACTGTGTAAAATGTATAATTATATAGAATAAAATAGAATAGCATTCATTACTAAATCAGGGCCCAAATGGGCATAAACATATAAAATATTATAGATAAAGTAACAGACATTAGATAATAAAGAGTATCGTAAGTCTTCCAGTTTATAAATATAGTACATTGGTGGTATAATTTAAGATTCACATGTAGACATATTTTTTTTACTATTTATTTAAGATACATCTGCATATTTAGTTATATTTCATGTGTAAAGTGTAAACATGTGCATTATTAATATTATTAATGCAACATACATCTGAATTAATTAACACATAACATATGCCTGATACATCAACAAGATCGAGGCAGCAATAGTCGGTGCTGATCGAAGGACATACTAATCAACTTCTTCCTCATGTAGAAAAAACAGATACATATTTTAAAAAAAATATATGGAGGGTACAAAGATTGTATGTTGAAAAAACTGCAATGGATAGCAAGAGAAACACCTTCACAACTTGGGGGTTTATGGAATTAAAAATGCATGATTAATGCACATTGTAATAATTTTAAATTCCTCTATATCTCTCCCATTTATGCAATTTTCTATGTGCTTCAGATATACTCTCATCAACCAAAGAAACTACCTTTTGAGATATTTCTTAAATATATATACTCTTTTCCCCTCTGTTTTTGATTATGATTTTTTTCCTCTTTTTTTTGACATCATGCTTCATTCACACTTATACTCTTTCCTATGAAAAAAGTTATAATTTAAAACATTTAAAAAAAAAAAATATATGTTGTATTATGCACTGAGTTTATGGAGAAAAATCTGATATTACAAGAACCTGAATTATATTAACCATGAACTCTCCATGTTGGTTTCATTTGCTGACGGAGACAAGATATACTGTTGTAGCACATGACCGCTGCATCCAGTGCATTGAGTCCCTCCCAGGGGTGAGAGGCTGAATGGGCTGCCTGACCACTGAACTTGATAGTCACACTAAAATGATTCAAAATTATTGAAATAAAATTATGTTTTATGGAAGATAGCTTTAAGTTCCAAGATCATTTATTGTTTACCTAGCCACACTTTAATTTTGTATATATATAAAATATGAAATCTATATTCATTAATTTGTCAATCTTAGAGAGCAGTAGACAAATAGATAGATATATGGGGACCTGTACATTAGAATTATTTCAACAAACCATACAATAATGTTTCTCATACTTACGGAATCATGGATGTATACTTTGGACGGGCTAGTGTGTACTGTGAAGGGTGAGCCATCATGGCTACATCAACTGAAGTGAAGGCTCCTGCTGTAATCAAGTCATGTTTCCCACAGCGACCCTCCTCAGCTGGAGTTCCTATCACTGACAGCTGGTAAAACATTTTATATTTGATAAACCCTTGCAAATATCATGACTATCTTGTGTAGAACTGTACATAGTAGACAAATCTGCTGTCAGATGAATGATGATGTAAAGTGCTTATACTCTTTAAGTCAGTTTGTAATACAGAGTAGTGGCAATCGATTAGCAACTGCGGGTGACAAAGAATTCTAGCCAACAACAATAATATTTGCTTTTAACATGTTTAAAATGCTACTCCCGCTGTTGAACAATTTGTAGTGAAAGGTTACCTGGCCACCAAGGGCTTGTCCAGATTTTGTCATTGCATGTTTTATGGCAATTCCAGCTGCCACGCCCACCTCTGCAATGAGATTGTGACCACAAGCATGACCAATCCCTGGTAATGCATCATACTCACAAAGTACAGCGACACGGGGACCGTCTTTAGAGTTTTGGGTCGGAAATTCAGCACGAAATGCCGTGTCAAGTTTGTAATGTTTTTCCACCGTAAACTCGTGTTTTTCGAGATATGTCGCTATGACATCGTGCGCGTAATGTTCCCTGTACGCCAACTCAGGCTTTTCCCATATGCTTTTGCTTAGCTGATGAAGTTCACTGGCATATTTGTCGATGAAGTCACACGCTGCTTTCTTGACCTCTTCCATGCTGCTTTGACAGCCTCCCGATCCCGATTTATTTTTGTTCTGAAGGCATTCACAAATAGGCATCTATTTCTTTTAACTGCTACTTAGTAAAAAAAAATAATTAAATTGTTTAAAAATAGCCGTCTTTCGTTAAATCAAATATATTTTATTATTTTAGTTATTTTAAAAAAATTTAAAAAAAAATTAATAAAAAACATATTTCTCTGTACGCCTATGATTATGTTTATGCATGAAAATATCTATAATTCTAAGCTGATATTTTTAATTTTTATTTTATTATTTTTTAATTATAAGTAATAATGTTTAATATGTAAAACTCTTATTAATAGCAGTCAGCTTAAATAATTAAAATAAGATAATTTGTTGCAACTTATTGCATTAATTTTATTTAATTAGCTTCTGCAAAGTGTGAGAATATTTAAAATCAAAATACTACCGTAGCACTCAAGAAGTAATAAATCTCAACACACACCGAAAGTTTGCAGATCTTCTGCAAAGATGCGTTTTCAAAGCAGGATAGAATATACATGTATTTCAGTGTACTGTGTATTTTTAACCCTCAAATGTAATGAATCAAAGTCACTGATTGGCATTTTATAAAATGTTTTTTTAAAAAACACATACAAAAATTGAAAAAGCAACAAACACTAAGTTCAAAAGATTAATGCCAGAATACATGTTGTAGTTTTTTGTTTGTTTTTTTTTTTTATCTTGTTCAACATAAATATTATCTTTTCTGGAGTAAATAAAAAAAATTAAAGTATCTAGATTACATTAGTATTGTTCAGTGATCCAAGATTCCTCTGAGAAAAAGATCACCCCGCGGCCCCTCTAGCCTCTCCTTATCAAAATAGGAAATAACAAAACCAGACTTGTAGGAAGCAATATCAGTTGGGGGGGGGGGTACCCTAACAATATCAGTTGAGGAGGGGGGATGCCAAGCAAAAATTCAATGACAAACACAAAAAAAAAGTCATCATGCAGACATTATTATTGAGGGGTGACACAAGCTAAATTATTAAAGTAGTTATGTTTTTATGTATGTAGTACACTAAGCTATTATATATATCGGCAAAATTATTGAAGGGGGGGGGGGGTTACCCCCTCCCGGTTCCTAAGGTCATGAAAATATTTTAATAGATGTACCCTCATATTTCCAATATTCATTTTAGTTTTCCGCCATCTCAGGCTGAAATGTCTTGTTTTATAAATACATGTAGGCTATGTACTAAAAATGTACATTCATGCATGCATATGAATATTTTAAAAAAAAAATATGCAGAGTCATGGGTATTGATCATCATGTGGTAAAATGTAAGGGAGAAATGGGAACAAGTGTGTGTTTTTTTTTAAAGATAAATTATGGGACACAGGAATTATCTAGATCTATCTTATTAGGAAATGTCTCCTAACAATATACGGAATTGTGATTAAAAAAATACAGGGAGAGGGAGAAGAGTACAATAATTTGATTGAATATTATCACTGTAGAAAACAGGAAGAAATATAAAATGAAGGGATGAGGTGGGGACATCACCAACAACTAACAGAATGCAATCAAAACATTGGGGCTATGATCATTTCAAAGGCCCATTGTTCTTTATATTCTATTTAAATTTTCCTTAAATAGACATATAAAATAGACATAACATTCCTTTTTTTCCGAAAAGTAAATTAGTTTCAATGTTTATTTAGAGTTCCAAAAGATCTAATACTGAAATTAGAGGTTTTTTTTTTTTGATAATATTCATGTGTGTATGTATGAATAATTTTCAATGAAAATAGAAATGATTGGAGAAAAAGTTCAACAAGTTTGTTTAGTAGTGTCTGCAAAGTTTTGTTAATGATTTTCATTCTATAATGTACATTTAACTTTGAAACCAAATTTTCGTTACGAATATGATTAATGAAAATCATGGCTTCTCGTCTGCACAAACAGGCGGTCACCCAGTGTTGTGTGAAATAAGAAAACATTACATGAAATGTTTACTTAAATGTTGTAAAATATATAATTTCATCTTATAAACAAAATATTTTATTCATCTTTTATTGTTTGACAAAACGTTAAATTTTGTTAGACAGGAGTTTAGCCTATAACGGTTCACTAAATGTAGGCCTATATGCTTCCACAATAGTTTTCAAAAGCTCTTTTGTGTTTATAATTTTGTTTTCTAATGATATTTTTTTTTGATAAATAGAATTTTAGTTTTATATTTAATAATTATAATAATCAATATACAGCCTAGCTGATATTGCTGTTGTTATGGTTCTATATAGTAACGGCTACTGATAGTTGAAAATGGTTGAGTTGGTTATCAAAGATTTGTAATATTTCATAAATTATAGTGTTTAAATTTCAAAACTCTACACCAGACACGAAGAAATACATGTGTACAAACGCATACGGCAGTTTAATTGTTTATATTATGTAACCCTTAAGAGAAATTGGAATAAAAAGTAGACATGTCAGTAACGATGACCTACATAGCACCCGCTAAAAAGCCGCTTACTTGTCATAAAATCGCAATAGAAAAAATATGAATACTCTAAAATAATCTCCAAATGTCAGCTCAATGATATGTTGGGTAAATGGAATCCAGAATGCAATCACATGAAGAGAATAACTCGAAAACGTTTACACAGAAAGCACAAATATGCCATTTTCGCAGTCCGCCATGATATTCCAGCATCCGGGTAAAGGGTGCTCTCTTTTACGTCCGTGACACCTCAATAAATAGCGCGTCACCAGCTTTGAGCGTCATTCTTGTTCCAGCAAGAGTACCAGTCAGTTCGTAAGAATATGGCGAAATCCCGATCTCGTTCCCGTTCCCGGTCTAAGTCAAGGTCTAGGAGCCGAAGCCGAAGTCGATCTCCAAAGAAGGCAGCACCTAAGAAAGCTGTAGCGAAGAAATCTCCAGCACCAGCAAAGCCAGCTGCCCCCAAGATGACCAAGTCCAGGAGCCGTAGCCGCAGTCGCAGCCGAAGCAGAAGTAGAAGCCGCAGTCGAAGTGGATCCCCAAGAAAAGCTAAGAAGGCCAGGAAGTCACCAAAGAAGAAGGCATCAAAACCCAGAGCAGCATCCAAGAAAGCGGCCCATCCAACAACTCTCAACATGGTGTGTGCGGCCATTACTGCCATGAAGGACCGCAAAGGATCCTCAGCCCAGTCCATCAGAAAATACATCTTGGCTAACAACAAATCGGTGAGTGCAACACACCTGTCTTCAGCAATGAAAGCCGCGTTCGCTAAGGGTCTTAAGTCAGGAGCCCTAGTTCGGCCTAAAGGATCCAGTGCCCACGGTGCAAGCGGACGTTTCAGAGTAGGAAAAGTTGCAGCAACGCCCAAGAAGAAGAAGGCAGCTAAAAAGCCAAAGAAGAAGGCGGCAGCGAAGAAGCCCAAGAAAGCAAAGAAGCCAAAGGCAAAGAAACCCAAGGCAAAGAAAGCAGCAGCCAAAAAAGTAAAGAAAGCAAGAAAGGCCAAGTCACCAAAGAAAGCCAAGGCAGCCAAGAAGCCCAAAGCAGCGAGGAAGTCGCCTAAGAAAACCAAATCCAAGGCAAGGAAAAGGCCCAGCTCCCCAAGGAAGGCAAAGAAAGCAGCAAAGGCTAAGTGAGCAGCTGTTCACTGAATAAACCCCACGGCCCTTTTAAGGGCCACCCACATTTTTCGAAAAGATACCTCTAAAACAGCGGTTATAGAAACATAAAATATTAACACCAGGCCACTGTTTACATTTTTATCTCGGACATTCCACAGTAGGTTTTAGCATTTATTTTTACTTTCATTTTCATTCCTGTAAGCATGACGAAAAGAAAAGCTGTTACACTCAACAACTTGTAAGTTTTTTTTCTCCTTACAGCTTGTCCCTTGTTACGAGTTAGGCCCTAATTAAAATGTTATTTTATAAACTGAATTTTAACCACTTTTGACAAGAATCTTTTGGTAAACTTCTATTTATCCCCATTATTTATCTCCCTGTAACTTTAAGTTCTAAGGATAAACTATTAATATATGACGTTATTGTAAATCATCTCAAAATTTTCAAAATTTGATGGTTGCGAGTCTTCATTTTAAAAAAAAAGTACAAATATATATCAATACACATAATACATGTATTGCAAATCAATTATTACATCTCAAATTAATTAAGGTATTTTTCATGATTTTTTCACTGGCCATCATTATGCATACGTATACCAGTACATTACTTATTAGGTTTAACTATTAGGTTTAAAATTGAAAAACTACTGTCAAGGTACGAAAAAACTTTATTAAAACAATAATAAGCCAACAGTCCACCATTTCTTTTGCTAATCTATGTTTAGAAAATGTGAGATTACATTTTTTGAATAATCATAATGGAGAAGACTATAAATATGTTGTAAACAAAAAATGTCATCTGTCAACCACTCAACGACACTTGTTTACATGTTTGATGGGTAGTGGTAGCTAGGTAAGATGTGTCGATTTTCACACAAAATTAAAATTATTAATTATTATAGACAAAAGTATAATCTAGTAAAAGTTTAGCAATTAACAATGAAAACCTCATTAAGCAAATAACTCTTGGTAGGGTCATTGGAAGGATGTGAAAATACAGGGTTATTGAACTTATATTGGTGAATATAGGCACGAGTTTGCTGTATAAATGGTTTATAAATGTACTAACATTACATATTCACTGAATTTAAAGCTGTATTCACCAGAGGGTCAGCGCATGTGATTGTGATGTCACAAGGACACCTCAAATAATGTAAACAATGGTTGTAACAGCTAGAGCCAGCTGTGTATCTGAGCAGGAAAAGCGTAAGGCAAGCCTATCGCCAGATTATTATCCAAACATTTTGATGGGAAATGTGGGAAAACTCTTTGCCAGTCAATAGTAAAAATTATCTGACCATCAGTATTTTCGGAGCCCCTGAGCTAATATCAATTATATTGCCTGTTTCTCTATGTAGAGAATATAGACTTTGAGAATATTCTTTGCTGAATATAATAGCTATTATAACTTCTGCATAAAACATTGTAAATCTCCATTTTAGAGTTCTTCAGAAAAGGATATTTCTTTATGTTGATCTCACATTTGAAATCATAGTAATAAATGAAAAGATGTATACATATTTTATTTAAACTATTGCAGGTGATGAAAAATTTTGAAAGAGTATGTCTGTGCTGTTTGAAAATTTGCAAAGAGTAGTTTCCCTTGACACACACCTGTTGAAATCCCAAATTAACCTCCTGCGTAAGCTGTTTGGAGTTGAATCTTATGACCTATCTGTAACCTGTGTAAACGACAGGGAGATTACCAGAATAAACACTCAATACAGAGGAAAAAGACAACCAACAGACGTTTTAGCATTTCCTTTTTACGAGGATCTTGTACCAGGAAAATTGCCCCCCGCTCCAACTCAGGGTGTGTTAGACTTGGGGGATATCTACCTGGGAATTCCGTACATTAACCGACAGTGTCGTCATAACAACCAGAAGATACAGAATGTTCTCCCTGTCATGGTAACCCATGGTATCTCTCATCTGATTGGCTATGATCATGAAACAAAGGAACAGTATGAGCAAATGTTTGCAAAGGAATCATTGATCTTGAAGGAATTTAACAAAGTAACTGGATGCAGTTGTGTCCCTTTACTTCATGTTGGGCATTAATTGAATGATCAAGTATATTTTTAGATTTTTTGGCTAGGAAAAAAAAATTGTGGAAAATTGTCATCTCAAAATAAAATGGATAACAAGTGTAATTTAGGAGAAAGAAATGAGTTAAATGAAAATTCATCTCATAATTCAGAGCAAAGTGTAGACGACTCATTAGCAGATTCTGTAGATGTTCATTTAAAGAAAATGACAGTCACAGACTCAAAAGTAGAAGTTGACAAATCTGAGATGTTAGCCAGCAATGACTGCGAGGAGAATTTTGGTCACTCTGCTAGAACTCTCACACCGGAGGAAATTGCTAAACTGAAAAAAGATGTAACCTGTGTGTCCGATTTTAAACAGAACAAGCTTGAGAAAGAAGCTCAGAAAAACTGGGATCTATTTTATAAGAGAAACACCACAAAGTTCTTTAAGGACCGCCATTGGACAAAGCGGGAGTTTGATGATCTATGCGCCTTGGAAACAGAGGTATAAGGCAAATATAAGGCAAAAATATTCATAGCTACATGTATCAGAGTTGAGTAACATATGAAATTTTCCATAGAAATTACTATTGATATCAATGTTCAATTCTTTTATTCACAAAATTTTAAAAAGTATCATGGTATTTGTGCAATAGCATAATCATGCAGATTTTAGTGTATTCAGCAGAATCAGATACCCATGATATTTATACTTGCAAATAATATGCTATCCAGAGAAATGAGTTTTTGTTTATCCAATAATTCTCAGTATTGCTTTTTACAGACAGGTCAGAGGATAATACTGGAGGTAGGCTGTGGGGTGGGGAACTTTATCTGGCCACTGCTACAAGAGGACAAATCTCTCTTCTTCTATGCCTGTGATTTCTCTCCTAGAGCTGTACAGTTTGTGAAGGTATTTTTAATTATGATACTTTCTTGTTAAATACTGAAATCTGATTGGTTTAGAACATAGGCATTCCCCAGCTTAATTAGTAAATATAAAAATTTATATCTACTACACTATAAATGTTATGTTGATAGTATTTATATTTCTTATTTACAAATTAAGATGGGGAATGCGTATGGTTTAGAAGCATTACCAATTTTCAATGTTTCCCTCAGCATTAGCAACACACTTGGGTAACAAATAATGATAATGTCAGATGCATATATATAAAGCTGACGTGTAAGATGATAGTTATAGTTTTTTCTCGGAGTGTAAATTTCAACTGTTTACCCTCCCAAACATGTACTATTTATATATTGTACGTAAACAACTTTGAAATACAAAATAAGAGTAAATAGATCTACTATTTATCCCTATTCTCTCTGTCATCACTTATTCTATTTAATGAAGTTTTTCCAGGTATGTAAGTAGAAATTTTACTCTTGATGTATGCTTATTTAATAACTTTCATTTTTATTTCATAGACATAAATTTGATATGATTTGATGTTTGTACAATATTCTCTTTTGAAAGTCTGAGGTTTATGAACAAAGAGAGATAACTCTCTGTGAAAAAGAAACTTCTGAAAAACTGCAAGAGTTATCTTTCTTTTGTGTATCTTTGGTGAAAGTTTGCAAAATGCTCATGTTAACATTGTTTCATTTAAAAGAAAACCAAAAAACAAAAACAAAAAAACAAAAAACACCCCCCCCCCCAAAAAAAAAAAAAAACAAAAAACAAAACAAAACAAAAAAACTGTACATTTAAACATGCATGTGTTTAGTTCTGAAATATAAGATTAAAATGTGTGGGATTACATTTCATGTAGGACAATCCTGAGTATGACTCGACTCGATGCTCTGCCTTCCAGTGTGACATCACAAAGGATGATCTGAGTGTGACCATTCCTCAAGACTCGGTAGATGTGGTGTCTATGATCTTCGTCCTGTCAGCTATCCATCCAGACAAGATGGAGGCAGCTTTATCCAATATCATGAAGGTTATAAATATCTATGAATATAATACACCAATAAATTGCTGAGATGAGCCTCAATTTCTAATATAACTTTTATAAAATGGAATAATATACAGTTATTTTAATTTAATACCTTATTAGAAATATATCAGTATTCAGAATATATTTCCCGAGGTGCTAGGAACAGCTCATTGTGTTCCATTACCCTAAGTTAACATTTGGCATAAGGAAATATTAAAAAAAAAAAAAAAAAAAAAAAAAAAAAAAAAAAAAAAACTTTTTTCAAACATTGCGCAATTTAAATCACATAAATCTTTAAAATTATGAAGGATAATGAAGGAAGACCTTTAATTAAAAAAAAATATTGTGGATGTTATATTTTTCAATTTTGCAAGTTTCTTTATTTAATACATTGATAACATTGATAATTACATTGATAACAGTAAACAGTAACTCATTGTTGGCCATATTACTGTGATTTTGTCAACTTCCAAACACTGACCTCCTTGATTTGCCTAGTTTGCTTTTAATAATCAATTTATGAATTAATCAGTTTAAAACTTTGCAACTGTACACTTATATATGATAAAGTTAAATTGATTTAACTTTAGACAGAAATACACAACTAATAAAGAGTAATTTTTAGGGTAGTGTCGGGGCCTTCACATAAATTTTAGTGAAAAAAACATGTTAATGGCAGCATTGCAAATCTGTTATTTATGTCTTTAGTTTTACTTTTAATATCCCAAAAGGCAGGGAACTATAAGTTCAAAAGTGTTTGATATATTGTAAAGGTGACAGATATTCATAACAGTTAAAAAAGATGGATCCAAGGCATTTAGAAAAAAAAATCAGTGAAATAGAGGATTTTGATTTATTAAGAAATATTCATTTTCAGGTGATGAAGCCTGGAGGCAATCTGTTATTCAGGGACTATGGTCTCTATGATTATGCCATGCTGAGGTTCGCGTCAGGTCACAAGCTGTCGGAAAACTTCTATGTCAGACAAGATGGAACCAGGGCTTACTATTTCTCTACAGGTAAAAATCATGATGAGTTCAAAGGAAATACCGGTATATAGTGAAAATGAGAGAGAGATTCAAATAAGCTTTTCTGATAAAAAATTTGTTGACTATGTGTCTTTGCCTGTCTGTTAAGGCTATATAAAATTGAAATTATGGTTTTTTTGAGCCCTTGCACATCAGTTTTAAGGTAGCAGCATTACAATTTTTATCACATTTTCAATAAAATAAAAATTTGGTATTGGGGAGACCCATCCAGGGAAAAAAATTCCGGACTCATTATCCATAGTTTTGCACTTCATTTTTGTTTCTGGTATCCATTTTGTATAAACATGGACAGTCATTCAACATGGACACTCTGTTCAATAAAATGAAAAATATGCATATACTTGGTAATTTTGTGAGATGTTGAATATATTTACAGTAGGACCCCAGTACACTTATAGGGAAAGGATTTTCATTGTTATTTCATAAAAAATTCTGGAATAAAAACTGCCTCCCACATCTACATATGTAATTACTGCCCATAAAAAGGTAAAAAAAAAAACCCCTTCCACCCACATCTGTTTTTAGGAAAATTGGCCTGAGAGCTGTAAAATCAATTTTACTTATTCTAGCTTTTCACATTTTTAGCTCACCGGAGCCATCTCTGGCATCTGTCTGTCTAGCTGTCTGTATGTATGTAAACTTAACACATTTTTAATTTCTTCTCAAGAACAACTGGGTCAGTTTAAACTGAAGTTGGCACAAAGCATCCTTTGGTGGAAGATCAGCAAGAAAAGGCAAAAATAGGATTGGGTCATTTAAAAATCTTCATCTAAAGAACCGGCAGATGAGAAGAGATGAAATTTAGGTGAAAGCTTGCTGAGATGTGTAAATTCTGTATTTCTGCCTTGGGAGTAGTGTGGTGCCACAAAAGGGGATCAAAGTTTTTCTTGGGAATATAAATGTAAAAATCTCTTTTTCAAGAATAGCAGTGTCACAATAAGTAATATTAATAAGCAAGCACCCTCACATAGTGCAAGATTCCCCATGTCAAGGAGACTTCTTGGAATTGGGGTTAAACTTTTTCATGGAAATAATGAGTAGAAAAAAACTTTAAAATCTGATGAAAAACAGCAGGGCCAAGATCATTAAGGTGAGCATTGTGACTCATGGGTTTCTTGTTGACTTCTTCCAAAACTCTGCAGGAGATAAATAATGAATGGTAAACACCACCTGTAAAATAGGATAGGATGATTTTTAATCCTCTTTTTAAAGAGACACTGTGACGGACGAACGGGAAAATTGACAAAAGTAGAATTTTTGCAAGACACATGCAAATTTTATTCAATTCTTAAAAGTATCAGGTTTCAGAAAATTACAGGATTCAGAATCTGAAAAATCTACTTTTAAGGAGGAAAATATAAGTAAAAATAATTTTAGTTTGCCCCAACACGAAAATATTGCTTCACTTCTTCCTCTTTAAGGTACGCATGCACAGAAAAGTTGAAGAAGTTACCATGGTGTCAATTCCATAGATATAAATGTCGGATGACCGAGGATTTTGATATGATCTTCAAAAAAGATGATCAGAACTTATTCCTTACTTTTGATTGCTCTAATTCAATGTTGTTTACAAGTTTCACGCTAAGAATAAGACACATGACCTTGACATTGTAGACATTGACGATAACAACCACGCCTTAGAACAACTTTTCTTTTTCTGGCATTTACATTTTGCAGTCTTTTCTTGCTTTTACCGTGCAGTTGAGATCTCAAAACTTCACTTTATTTATATTTCTCATAAATCTTTAGCTTTACGATACAATTATCTTAAAAGAAACATATGATATCGACTCACTATGTAACTTTAAGGACAGAAGTACCAAAATTAATTGAATTGATATGCAAGCATTCAAAAGAACAAGTAGTCATAGTCTAGATCCATGTTTTCCTGTAGGGTTTCAGAAGGGGGCCAAAGTTTTTCATACAAATGTACCACCAAAAAAATGTCGTCATTAACAGCAGGAGGGCATCAAAAAGTCAAATTATTATGCATTCACCCCATCTAATGTAGAATTCAATTGTTCCAGTCAAGGTCTCAGACTAGGCTTGAGTCTATTAAAGGTTCTAAGTTTACATAGGAATGTAGCTGTGTCTATGAAGAATCCAATGAATTTTACAGTGCTATCATTAATCTTATGTATGCCCATGCAGTACAAATTCAAGTTTATTCAATTTTTGTCAGGGGGCAAGGATGTTTTTAAGAAAGTTATGTTTGAAATGATAGAAAATAATTTTTTTTTCAGACAAATTGTTAGATCTTGTGAAGAGTGTTGGATTTGATATGACATTGAGTCAGTGTGAGTACATACAAAGAGACACAGTCAATAAAAAGGAGGACTTGTGTGTCCCTAGGATATTTGTCCAGGGGAGGTTCATCAAACCAAAGTCACCAGAACACAGCTAATTCAGTGTGTATTTATAGTGTTTCTAAATTTGACATTAAATTGTGTCTGTAGAAGAGTCTATGAAAATAATGGATGTATTTGCAAGAATTGCAAGAATTTTTGTAATGACAGTCAATTGAATTCTGGAAATTGTTTGTTTTTTTTTTCTGTAAAAATTTTTGCATTTTAAAATTATTTTCAAAAACCACAGTGAGAAATTTTACCAAATGTAACACAAATTATCTTCAGTACAAGTAGTTAAGGTATACAAAACTAGGTGAACTCAAGAAAACAGGGTTTTAGTCAGACTTGTATAGCTTGAGAAAAAGTTTGTGTTAAGGGTGTACATTATGCTTAAGACTTAAGTTTCAAGACACAAGACAAGCCTTAACGTTTGTACTGACTCTATTACAAAATGTTTATTTACCAACATACTCATTTGTCAGGAAGTGAAAACGAAATAAGAATTAAATGAAAAAAACTTTCAAAATATACACATTAGCAGCAGTGCTAATATATAGTGCCTTTGTAACCTTTTTTTATTGGACTAAGTGATTTTTATTCAAAATCCTGAAATGTCTCAAGAATCAAGGTTATAAGAAACCTTTGTATTATGAATGACCGGCCACAATATCTTTGGTGCAAGGCTATCAGTCATACATGTATAATTCACCAGAAGTCATGTCATGGACATACATTCATTAAAACTTTCCCTGCATTACATAGTCTCAAAATTATAAATATATATCAACTGAAAATGGTGATATATCTTTCCTTTTATCAATTTAAGGGTATCTTCAATGATTCATTTGCTTATTTTAAAATGTATTGATGAAATGAAAATGGACAATTATGTGTAATTTATTTGATCCTGTGACCATGACCTTAATAATGCGTGAAAAAGATTCTATCAAACAGATGTAATAGATATAGCAAAGTAAATATAATAATTATACCCCCAATTGAAGCCAGGTAGGTTCATAGACAGGTTCACAGGCTTGTAATGATATATAAAGATAAAACATTAATCAATCTCAAAAGTCCAATGAAACAATACAAATTTTGGAGCAGAGCAAACAGGGACCTCTAAAAACATTAGAAGTAGGATCAGATGCCATTTTTTTATGCTTTTAAATTTATATTCAATATGTTTATATATATATATATGTATATAAATATAAGGATAAAACTGTAGAAAAATTCTCCAAATAGGAAAGGTTTAATTAATAAGTATATATATAACTTAAGCAAGTAGATGTTAATGGTATTGTTGTTTTAAAAATTTATTTAAATATCTGGCAAAGGAGAAGGTGGCTCAGGCAACACATACATGTACAGCAAATTAACTAATATTAGCACAATATTCAAAATTCAGTTGTAGATTAATGTCATCGGTAATTGTTCGATTTTGTAAAGGAGAAAATTGGGATGTCTTTCTTATTCAAAGGTAAAAAGTTATGCCATTGGACAAAATAAAGTTCATGCATCTTTTTTTTTTCAAAAATATGAAAGTAGGATAAGTGGTGCTTTCATGGTACATGTATATATTTTGAACATGAAACTTCTTGAATTTATTTCGTGTTGTATGTATTATTTTTAAATATTTAGATCTAATCTTATCATTCAAACAGTTTTATTTCCTTCACTTTGCCACTCAGACGTTCAGCAACAAACAGATTGTCATCTTCATCTGTACTGAGATCAAATGGAATTTCTAATTCACAATTTGAAATGTATAAAAGGAACTGTCCGTCCCCATCGATGACATGTCAAAATATAAAAGCAGGGGTTAGAGTCAGAGGAATCTCGGATTACGGAGTATTTTACTCTGTGTGATGTTACTTTCAATTGATTTCACAGCAACAAGTAATTCATCTGTTGGGGTACAACATATGACCACCGGTATCCAGTCCTCAGGCGGGAATAGGCGTCTTGTCCTGCCACTCTTTTCTATATTTATACCACTAGATGAAATCCCGCGCGCAAGCGCGGGGAATTGAATTTATATCACTAACGACAGAAAATATATTGTAGTTTCTACTGACAGCCTACAGGCTTATAGGAGGAAGAAATACTTTGTTCAAAATTCCGCATGAAGTAGATGTACGTCTCCACCACCCCCCCCCCCCCCCTTTTCTGTAAAAACTTGAAATATAACAATTTCATTAATTGACCTTTATTGTGAAACCTGTTATACTATGTTATGGATATTGTACTTCAGATGCTCTTATTTCATTTCCGTAAAGGATAAAAGCAGCGAATATGCACATTTTACTGATAAATTGATTTTTTTCGGGGGGGGGGGGGGGTTAAAAATTCACAGGTACTTGGGTCTTGGTTTATGAATATGTATGTACCTTACTGATATGTAAAAATGTACTTTACTTTTTTTTTACATATCAATAAGGTACATACATATTTATAATGCAAGACCCAAGTACAGGGTCTGTGTAAAAATTAGCTTTTAGGCTGAGTATTTGATACAAATGACTTTATTCAGAAAAAAACTGAAATGTATTGATTAAAGCACAATATTTTACACAGCTTTAATTGTCTTTCATGTAAGCTGGTTTATTCCGAAGTACAAATTGTACTTCGGGTTCGTTGCCACGATGCTCTCAGTATAAGGAATAAATACAAATTTTATTAATATTCTAATAAATTTATTATAGAAAAACCTACGACATACATGTAATAGTCTTTCGATATATAAATATATTCAAAACTTATAGTGTTATCAATGATTTACCATTATTTCAATGACCATTCATACAAAAGCTTTTTTTTTTTTTAAATGATCGCCTCGTTTTTCTTTTTAACATCGGGCTCGATGCTATATGATGTTCTAGAAGCTTCCGTCAATATTAAGATCGGTGAATGACGAAAATAATTTGCACATTTCCCTTTTTAATCGGTTATCAAAACTTATTTCTTTTATATCATTTAAATCAAGTTTTGATTGAATAATTCAGTGATGACGTTTTATGAAATAAATAAATGATTGCTTGTTGTCAATTTCATTAAAAATTGCCAGTAACTTAGATCCGCCAACCGGAAACGCCACCGTACTCAGGTTTTTGCTATTTCATGGCTGTTTATAGAAAATAAAAGTAGACTTTTAATTTAATGTACGATATTTACTATGCAAGTGAAATTTAAATATAGTTTACGGACATCAGCTTGTATCTAGTGTATTGTTAGAGGAGTAAGTAAGAACTCTGATGCATCCGTTTCGGAGTTTATTTGCAAAATTTATTAATTTATAAGTGTAGATTTGACAGACTCTCAGTGTAAACCAAACAACCCTCTGGGGTGACTCCAGTATCATATGGCATTCCTCTTGACGTTGTGATAATCTCATCTAATATTTCTCCCCCTGTGTTCATTCGTAGGATGATTTCACTGTTACCACTGACATAAAATTCATCTGTGTATGGAATGCAGTTTATTCCATTAATTTTCCCATAACCAGTTTCTACAGATTCCATCACTATAGGTTTGTCAATAAATTGTTTGTAGGGTTCAATAGAACTTTGAATGGGTAGAGTAACACTTGCTGGAATGTTTGATTTAATTGTATTTGGAATGACGCCGATCATAAGACATAGTTCTTCTTCTGTAAAATCCATGGGATTTAGTTGTGGTACTGTTAGTTCAAAACTGGAGGGGACGTATCTAAAATCTTCATTTCTTGAAGTATAATGAATTAGTTTGGAAGACTCACTGGAATCTAGGATGGATTTGTTTTCACTGACAGTTGACTGAATTAATGATTGTATCATCTGAAAATCTACTTTTAAAGCCAACAGAGAGGCCGTATCCTTTCTCTGAATTGCATTTGATTCATTCAAATACCTTTCAATAACACTGTCAATAAGCTTGTGGCATTTTCACCAAAGGTTATAATGGTTTGATGTCTTTCTTTATGTTGATGGGCAACATTTGTTAACACTGTATCTATATCAGATATGATTAATTCATACACAGGTGCTATGTCATTTACAAGCTCTTTATTATCTTTTATAATCCTGTTTCGTCTAGATTTGTAGATTTCAGAAATTTGTTGAACGTCGTGATTTTCATGTGATCCAGAAGTGAGGCATTTTAGACAAACAGGAGAATTGCATTGTAGACAAGATATGTCACATTTAAATTCTTCATGTTGGCTACACAGGGGTGGTATGATTTCAGATTTTTTAAATTCAAAAGTGACAACATCATGTTTCACTTTTGGATCAGATATGACATGTTGACCTACACAGTCCTTACAGAGGTTTACTTGACAGGAGCTACAAACAGTTTCAGCTGCAGATTTCCTGTCTTTTCCAGGGCAAAATTGACATCTTTTTATATCCTGTGATCTGATCAACGGATCATGGGATGTCGCCATAGTGCTTCAAAATATGTAATTTGTTATTTTACTATAAGAACTTTTTAAAAGGAATATTAACTGAGTACAAAAAGAAAATAAATTATACACTGTACGGCATTAAATATTTCCTTAAAAAAAGTTACTCTGATATCTTACCGTGGTTATTTTATCAGTTCAAAAATGGCAGCACATTTGCACTTTATAGATATACATGTATATCGCAGTTTGAGGACTTTAAATTTCCATTTAAAAGAGCTTCAAATAACAAAACAAATTAACGGACGGGTACCTCTAAATGTTTACTACTTATCGTCATTGAGAATAACTTTAATACATTACATGTTGTAGGTTTGCAAAATGGCCTGCAATGGACAGGTTTTTTTTTTTTTTTTTTTTTTTTTTTTTTTTTTTAAATTCTGTTCAAATAGAATTTTCTTTTATGTATTATAATTATATGCTTGAGATAAAAAACACCACAGAGTCTACCACATCTGTTTCATATTTGGATATTTACTGACTGTAGACGAGAAAGGCAAACTAATAACTAAATTGTATGAGAAACGAGCTGACTTCAGCTTTTCCATCGTCAACTTTCCTTATTTATGTCCGTGATCGGAAGGTCGTGGGTTCGAATCACGGCCGCGACTGACCAAAGTTCGAGTGTTTACATCTCCCAACTTATTCGATACTCACGAGCATACTTCGAGTACGATCAATTTTTAAATAGAGACAGGTTACTGACAAATAAGTTGATGTTACTGGGATTTCAACAACCTCGTTGAAAGTCAGCATTTCGTAAATATTATAGTCGTTATAATGATCTTGTTAGAAAATATAACCTGTCACTGGGTCGTATGTTGGGTGACGTGTTTCATACCAATTGTTAGGCCTGTGTTTTATACTGATTTTGACTACGGAATGTTCCTTCTACCTGATCTATACATGGCGGTTATGACCATTCAACAGGTGATGCTTACTCCTACTAGGCACCTGATCCCACCTCTGGAATTTCCTGGGGTCAGTGTTTTATGCCCTGCTCACATATTTATATTGATTATAGATTTTTAGGAGATCGATTACTGTTTGTTATCTTCACCTTGTCATTAAAACACTTTTATTTGAGTAAATGTCCCGGTTTTCGAAAAGGGTTTATAAAAGTTCTGGAACGTCAAGATAGCAAAATTTTAATAGAGATCAAACTAAAAATTCAGTAAGATAGGACAAAGTAATAAAAAGTCAAATACCTGGATTTTTGCATATGCGATATGCCTGACGTCACAATAACAATGAAATGCATAATAATGAACTCTACTTTTATTAAATAATTTTGTTTTACAACAGATATATGTCTTCCATGAATTAATTATTCTTTTGATTTTGTTCATCTCAACACAAAAAGAATATTTGTAAATAATGAAAAATATCCTGATATGTATATCGTATCGTGACACAATTATCAGGTAATATATCGCTATGTAAAACTTCTATTTTAGTAACCATGGCAACGTAATTTTTTGAAATTAAAAACTAATGTAAATTAGTGTAAATAATGGCCTAACAATAAGTATGAAAAACGTCAGTCAGCATTTGACCCAGTGATAGGTTGTATTTGCTGACAATGTCATTGTATCGACCAAAAAACTTGCAAAATGATGACATCAAACTAGACTGTTGATATCCTTGTTCAGTTAAGATTTTCATGCATTTTATAAGTTTTGGCTTATGTTTTGTTCTTCTGATCTCTCTTATTTTTGACATATCCTCGCCGATTTCCGACACCATGTTAGTAGACAGGGACGCGACGCATGATTTACAAGGAACAATCTTAAAATATAATTTTATATTATGCTTGCCAAGAACTGAACTGATTTATGCTGTCAGTTATCATGATAAAAACTGCTCAACAATTTCATCCTTGGGTACAATATCACGATGTATTTCATGGTTTTCACCCAAGTAAAACAGAACACAGAATCAACATGCATCTGACAGCTGAATAGTTACCAGGAACCTACTGTCAGAAACTTTATATGTGAGTTCAACATTAAGGGAAATACTTTCTTTGATAAGTTCTTCAGTTAGTTCCTTAATTCATCTTATCCTGCAACTGCTAATACATAAACCCGACTTCAATCCAACAAGTGAACTAAGGGGCGTTACTGGTATGAAGTTTTTCAAAACTGACATACGCAAGCAATATAAAGGAAGAAACGTCTTAATTCTTGCAAAAGCAACATTTAGTTAATCCCGATTAATACTTACTGATGTATTTGACTTTTTTTTTATTTTTTCAAAGGCTGGAACTGAATTTCTTCCACTAAAAGTTGTCTGAATTAGCAATTTTTATCTTTGAAAACCTTAATTTAAGGCAAGCAGAAAGTTCATATCTTTTCTTTCAATTTCTTTTTATATTACGCAAATTATTCTGATGACAAGATTTTTGTAATCTTTAAATGGAACATTATATTCTACCAGGAACGTTTACTTAGTTGATGTTTGTGCAAATTTATTTTGCATGAATAATTAAAAGACTGGAATAACAAGCGGAAGCTATACGTATCGGGCAAATACTGGCACACTAGCAAGTTACACAATTCTACGGACTTAAATGAACCTTGGAATTTTTTGACGAGCTTAAGCATCTCCGAGGAAGCAACATTTATGGAACGTCATTCTATACGGTATTTAATCAGTACTTTAAATGCAAATAGCTTGTAGTGCACCAGGTCAGTCTGAGAGTGTGTTCCTAAGGAATAAACTCTAAAGGCCACCCTGCTTTCAGTCTGACATTTATTCTCACCTGAATGAAAGTTTATGAATTATTTCTATGTTCAAATAAAAAGCGACTACCTTGTCGAAGCATTTGTTGAACGTTTTATGTAAATATAATTATTAAATATTGGCACAGGTAGATATTGACAATCTCTTTTAAAATATGTTTGCTCAAAGTTTGTAATAAAATCACTTCCGCTTTAACTGTCATATATTTTTGTTAAATTGGACCACAAATATTAATTCACTCTCTTTTTTGAGATAATTTGAATTATTTTTTTATTCAGCAGTTTACTCGATTCATACCGAAAGTGTATGGATTATTATGACTGTGCACTCACAATAAGTATCATTTGCTCATATTTTTTTGCCTTATGAGCAGAATATTTAGAAGAAAGTCTGACTTGTTCGTGTTTAGCTAATCAATACTTTTTTGAAGACCAGTTCATTGGAAGTGTGGATTTTAAATCATGACGGAGATGAAACCACGACATATATTAAGCTATTTTATATGTGAGTACAATTGTATACTGACGACATGTATTAAGCTATTTTATATGTGAGTACAATTGTATACTGACGACATATATTAAGCTATTTCATATGTGAATACAATTATATACTGACGACATATATTAAGCTATTTTATATGTGAGTACAATTGTATACTGACGAATCTTTAAATATAATTAATAATACTAATATCTTCTTTATAAATTATCAATTTATGACTACCAATAGGTACATGTAATTACTATGGTTTTAGGGTTCATTGACAGAAATGACATGTTGTTCATTTGAACAACCAAATGGAAATATGATGATGCTTAAAGAGGTACTATAATTATGGGCATTTATCCAAAGAATACATGGATGATATTTAAGCAGAATGATTGCGTCGATAACAAAGAATTTTTTACTTCCTTTGCAGACAGTAGCTTGGTCATAATGTCAGAAGCGTGTCAAACAACACCTTATACAGATCAATGTGGAAATATAGGAGTTTTATGGAACTGTAGTGGATTTGAAATACACAGACTGCCACAGAAAATACCAAAGGAATTACTGGGCCGCAATGTCATCTTGGATTTATCCTTTAATAGATTTTCTATTCTTAACAACAGTACCTTTGAAAATCTTGCAAATATGTCAGTTGTGACATCCATAATTCTCAATCACAATAACATAACAACGATTGGAAGCAATACCTTTCAAGCACTCACAAACATGTGTAGTTTGGACATTTCATATTGTCATCTTGATAACAATAGCATAGAAGTAGACGCCTTCTTACAGCTACCAATCAAGTACCTTAAAATTGATCATAATAATTTCGAAAGTGAACACATGTACCCGGATGTTGCACTTTCTGCACTTCAGTCGTTGTGTAGCCTGGAAAAAGACGTTTTTAAAAATTTTGAATTTACAACACCATTTGAAAACCTAACAAGTTTGTCTGAGTTAAAGTTTAATGTTCTTAGTGATTTTAGTTTATCAAATACGTCCTTTTTAGGACTCAAAAGCTCTAAAATCCAACATCTAAATCTGACGTTTGCAAATCACGTGTATTGTGATGTCACTGAGGATCTGTTTTGCTCCTTTCCCAACCTCACAGATGTTTTCATTAATTTCGGGGGGAAATGTGACGTAACTCCGGCATTACGCTCTTTAAAATGTCTACAGCATCGCAATATTGATAACATTACACTTTATGAAAATAAGAAAAAGATTGAGACAAATGTGATAGTTCTAAATGAAAGGTTACTTGAATATGCTGTTAATATCTGTGTTCTAAAATTATTTATGATTGAAAACAGCATTGCATCTATAACAAAGAATATTCATAACACAACGTTATGGAACTGTTTGCAAGAATTAGATTTAAGCAAAAACGATTTGCATGTCGTAGATGTTTCAGTGGTTGTTTCTTGGATCTTAGCACCTAAATTGAAATATTTGAATTATTGCTGCAATGATCCGTATTGTGTAAAGAACAGCTTTGCTGATATAATACAATACCAATATCAGGATACTTCAGATATCATTCTAACTTTACCAGAGAAACTCGAAGTACTTGATTTCTCGAACAATTGGTTGCACAACATTAAAGAAAAAATACCTCGTTTTAAAATTGTTGGTGAAAGTTTGCAAGCATTGTACATCCAAGACACTAATTTTCCTATGGCGTACGTCGACCAATTTGATTTTCCGTCTTTAAAGATTCTTGACTTATCTGGTAATAAATTTGTTAATGTGCACACTGATTTATTCCAGTCTTCCTTAGGTATTCAAAGTTTATCTGTCAAAGCTGTTAACTTCACGTTCACGTTTTCAACAGTATTAAATTCTGAAAATATATTCAGGAATATGAAAAAACTCTCCATACTAGATTTTTCAGAAAACGATTTGCGTTTTCTTCCACCTACTTTATTCATAGACCAGAAAGAATCTTTGACAGAAATATGTCTTGACCACAACCGATTTTTTAATATTCCGGACTCATTAAGGTATTTGCAAAATTTGAAAAATATCTCTTTACGAAACAATTTGATATCGGAATTTACTAAAAAAGATCAAAATATTTTTGAAACGCTGAATAATATATCACTTTACTTGGAAGGGAATCCGATTTCTTGTACTTGTTCTAGTTTTAAGTCTTTACTCTGGATGAAAAATAACAAGCATCTCTTTGCTGACTTAAGTAGAATCTCATGTGCAGGAAGTAGAAATTTAATCGCTCACTTACTTTATAATGAACAAATCTGGAGAAAATTTCAACTAAAATGTCAAACAGAAACCTGGCTCAATTTCTCTGTGGTATTAATCGTGTTGACTTTATCTATACTTTTTATATCCTTTACGGTGCGGAAATACCGGGTACATGTGGAATACGTCATATTAAGACTAAAAAATAGATGCAAAGATGTGAGTCCAGAAAACAGAAAAAGTAATTATATCTATGACGTTTTTGTGTCATATGGTGAGGAGGACTATGCCTGGATTATTCGTTATCTGTACCCAAAATTGGAAAGCTTAAATACTAAGGCGTGGCTTAAGGACAGAGATTCGATTCCAGGAGATTGGGAGGCAGAGGAGATAGTTAATTGTATAAATGAAAGTAGAAAAGTGCTGTTTGTGATCACTGAATGTTTTCTGGAGAGTGGTTGGGCCTCATACGCCGTCCAGATGACGGTTACTCACGCCTTTCACAACCAACGTCAGAGTTCCATTGTTGTCGTCATCAAAGACAATATACCATTAGAGAGGCTCCCAAACGATATCAAAAATATATGGTGGTGTATTGAGTATTTAAGATGGTCTACAGAAGATGATAATGATGGCCTAATAAAACAGAAGTTATCAAATTTGCTAAAACCAGTAGATGCTTAAATACCAAGACGGTATATAGAAGTATTTAGTTGTAGAATTAAAAAATAAAAGATGTACATATATTATAAAATATTTTAATCATTTTATATATTTTGAAAGAGTTTGTTAACAAATGAAAATTATTAGACATGAACTGTGCCATACAAAATATATCTTCTGTGCAATTATATTTGAGAACTTCTAATGACAGAAGCGTTGCTCTTTTGTTAATCTTCTGTTATTTTTCCCATGTGTCTCTTTATTTATTTTGTACTCTTTACTTATAGAAAACAAATTCTGCGAATCTGTATATTTTTGTATATGACCAAACCGTAATTGGTATGATGCCGACAATTTACGCGTTATAGTTTTAATGTTTAAGTGTTTGAATACTCAGATTCTTAAAGTATTTTGCAAACATGTCCAAGATAAACATAAAGTTTACATATACTTATAATCTGACGTTTTCGATTTCAGATGTTCTAATTCTTCATCAGTGCTGTCAATAATGATTAAGTGGTCATACCCTAGTTTATGTTGGTTATAAAAATTATATTATCTGACTACATGTATATAAATGGTTGTATATTGTATATACAATTGTATTCAGGAAGGACATAAAGATATGTTAACATATATTAGATCTAATAAGGATCTCATATATAAAAATTCCAGTTGACATTAATTTAGGTATAATTATATTTATACATTTGTAATACTTCTAAATAAAAGTAACTCAAGAGAAGTTTTGCGTGGAAATTAGAAAAAAAAGCTTATGTTGTATTACTATATAAAAGGAATTGTAGCAAGTAATGAAGAATTAATGAAGACTCTGAATTTTTTTAATTTATTTTATCATTTTTTTAATACAACGTGAGTCAAAAAGAAATTGGAACAATGTGATTTAAAAATAAATATTCCTAAAATACAAATGCATTCATGACTTTGCATAGTTTTATTAACTCGATATTTTTTATTACATGCAGTGGTGAAATATCCAAGGTTTTCTTAAATGAACCAATGAAACAAGTTTAAAGACGGTAGTCAAGTAAGGGGAAAGCTCATTGAAGTTAATTTGATTAATTAAAGGACAGAGTGTGAGTAATCATAACAAATTCAAAGAAACACCAGTCTAAGATCTGACCATATATATCTGATAACAATAATGGCCGAACACCATCGATACTAGGGACGGGAAGAAAGATGTCAAGTTGGAAAAATTATAAACACTTGTGGTAATGCTCATTTTTCAGATCAAACAAAACAATTTTTAATTATGGATTTTCAACAAGGTTACAAAAAGTATTTTAAATTATCTAAATTATTAAAAGTTCATCTAAGAAACTAACATATTGTCTGTATCAAAAGCGTATACAGGCATATAACAGTAAATAAAAATTAAATAAATGAATCATAAAAGTGGAAGAAAATTACAACAAAAATGCTTTTAGTTAACCCAATAAGATCATTTGTATCAGGCTATATCTGTGTGGTAAGTATTTTTGAAAATAGAGAATAGACCCAGAGATAAAGAAGATGAGCGAACAAGGCAAGCGAAATACCTTGTTCGTCAAATATGAATGAATTAAATCTCAATTACATCAAAATTTTCTTTAAATTTTCTTTAAATTTTCATCTAATATTAAAGTACTGGTATACTGTATGTAAAATCACCACAACTTATAAATCTCACCAATAATGAAATTATTTGCTATTAAAATAACACACACACTAAATAGGGCAAAAAATTTTCTCATACTATAACACAATTTTTCGATATGAGTGGGTCTTCACTCCATTTAATTGAAAGCTTATCCTCATAGTTTGCGTAAAAATGTACATTATTAGTTAACAAAAACATGGAGCAAGGATCCACTGCACCTTAAAAATACACTTTTATGAGACAACATTCGCATCTTTCCTAAAAACTCTTGCAGTCCATTTCGTCAAGGATCAATCTCAAAAATGATTTTAATGTCATTAATCTTCAAGAGTTGCATGTTAAGCGCAGTGGTTAGCGTATTAATCTCAATAATATTCAGGATTTTCTTTTTTGGGTTCAAATCCCACGAATACCACATTATTTCTGACCGTAATTTAATTTCAGTCCTCGAAAGGTTGCCTTACCTTGTACTGTAGGAAGCAGACAATACACAAGGTTTGACGTCGATCGTGACCAATAACGTTCCATACCGTCTGAATTTAACAAACAGTACCCTACTTATTTGAGGTCTGTCTATTTTGAAAACAGTTCATGATTCTCTTCTGTCATTTATAAACAACTTCGCTACTAATTGTCTCTGAAGCTGACAAGCCATATTTAAAACGATTTTTTTACATCCCCGTGCGCCGCAAACGCGTTTGACGACGTCATTTGTAACAAACTCAATTCCAACATTGTATCATTGCTACGGTGTTTTTCCTTTGAGCTAACTTTATAAGCAAAATACAAAACACATATAAACATAGTGAAGGTATATCTTTCCTTAGGTCAACATAAAAAATTCTAAATTTTGCACGTCAATTTTTAAATCCAAAATGGAATTCACACAAGCACATTTTTAAATGAATGTTTTCGTCTCTCATAAACTTGAAGCGTAACAAACCACACACAATGTAGTACAGGGAGCGATATTCCTTGATTTCTAATTCCAACACAAATCGCTGCATCCATTAATTTAGAGAATCGCTGTTCATCTCGGTCAAAAGTGGACATTTTCCCGTGCCGCACGCCACTCGATTGACTTGAACGTTTAAATTGCCCATTTGGTATTTTTACGAGTGTTAGAATTTTTTTTTGAGAGCCTATCAAACGCTGAATTTCATGGTCGGACACTTGTACATATCTTCGTCTCGACCTCGGGACTGGTGAAATTCACACACTCAACTCAGTCTCCATCATGTCTAAAGTACCTCCTATATTGAAACCCATAATATGTTCAGTTCTTAGTTCCGGTAGATCAAACATCATACTTCCCAAAGAATCTTCAACCTGTATCTGGTTTCGTAACTGATCTAAGGAATTTCCTTCATTTCCGGTTTCCGTGTCTAAGAATTGCGAAAGCATAAAATCACAACCGTCATCCATTGCGTTCAGAATTGAATGGACGAAGTAGAAAGTTCAAGAAATACAGCGCGTTATACTTTCCGAATCACGTGTTCTTTTTTCATTGGTCATATAAAATGGTATGGTGAAATTTTGATAGATCATGGCTAACTGAGTGCATGAGAATATATTTGAATTACACGCTATTAACGTGAAATTGATAGATCATGGGTAACTCAATACCTGAGAACAATGATACAAAACATATTGAGTATCTTTTAACTCGTGCATCTTCAGATATCAGACTCAAGGGACAAGCCCCCTCAGCTGATATCTGAAGATACACTCGTTAAAAGATACTCTATATATTACATACTTTAAAAAGTACTACACCAATCCTTTGTCGCTGATGCCATTTACTAGTATGTGAAAATTGATGTATTCCTAAATTTTTTTTCTGGTTTAAAGGATATAAAGGAGTATTCTTCTTAAGTATAGTAGCGTGGTCCCTTTTTACACCCTTGGTTTACCGGTTAAATATTAGCATACGGTATTTTGTTTGTTTTCATTGTGTACAACGAAGTATTTCTACTTAAAACATTGTGTATTTATAATGAATAATTAAACATATCAAAAAATATATGCCTATTCTTAACACCTATCGCACTAAAAAATGCCGGAACATTTTCACCCGATCAGACTATGGTTTCTCTATTACATGGAAATGGGCGGAGACATTTAGATTAGATACTACAAAAAGAAGATCTTGGTATGATATTTTTCTTTCAAAGACGAATTATATGTTGAAGATTCACAATCAACTACAAATGCAATTTTCCATTTACAAAACTTTGGCAATAAAATATATAACAAGATGAACCAAACAAGTTCATGCTGATCGACATAAAACTGAGTACGTTTCAACTGAGAACTAGCACGTTTACTGGGGGCATTTACCCGTAACGACACAAATCCACGTGGCTTGTTATGATTCTAAATAGGTCATAAAGAGGTTAATCGCATGTAAATGAAGTCAGCAAAGAGATTCAAAATCACAATACTTTTAATTAGAAAACATAGAGCACAAGGTTGTTCAACAAAGATATTTTCACTCAACCTTTACACATATAATAGACACATTATATTTCAAACTCGACTCTGAACAAACCTGTGCTCGGTGTTTACGAAAGCTTTGAAGTGTGTACCTGCCACTGATTTCTTTTGATATTCATGAAAATCTACGGACCCTACCTTAAACGCGCAGCTTCGTATGCTGCCTGTATCTATTGTTTGACATTTTTAGATGATGATTCAAATAATAAAGACATTAGTTAATAATAAAATTTATTTTTTTAAAAAAAAATAATAAATGTTCGAAATTTGACGAGTTACCGGGGACCACAAATAAGCCTTATTGAGACTTGTTCTTTGAGTTTCTACATATTATCAGAAAAACAAATGCAATTGAAAAAGTTACTATCGCAAATTATTCCGGATTTTATTCGTGCATCGACAGACCATATCGACCTTCCCTACAAATAGACATACATATGATATTATTAATATGAAAGATTTTTTGGTAAAAATTCACTTTTTAAAGGAACACTGAACAAATTATAGCTGAACAAAATTTGGTTATTGTGGGTTGAATGGAAAAAACCCCCACACTTATTTGAGATTTCGGGCATTGCAAAAGATGTGAATTTATATCACTACAAACGCATTGCATAATTTGTAAAGGTTGTACAAAAATGCAATGTCAAACTGCGCCTAGGTGTAAATACGTGTACATTCCTTTTCCTTGTTACATATGTGTGGCATTAATTTAAGTTTATAATGACAGGTAAAATTCAATAAGAAAGTGAAGCAATTAAGACTTTCAGAAATGTATCCCCCCACAAAAAAATGAGATAGAGAATAAGAAAAAAATGTTTTCTCATACTAGTCAATTTTAATGGACTTACAAAAATTTCTGCGACAGATTCTTTCCATTACACTTTATTTTGCCAATAAAAACAAGAAGACCATCGACCAAAAAAAAAAAAAAAAAAAAAAAAAAAAACAGGTTAACGTAAAGTTTACTCAGTCGAGTGTATCCAACACATTTGGAAGGAAAATTGTTTTTTTTTACAACAACGGGATATTTGGGAAATTCCAAAAAAGTAAATACTACTTCAACCGTCTCCAATCAAGGTATGTAATAACTAAATTAAATCACAAATATCTATTCTGTTTTTACAATCTAAGAGTAGAAGTTTGGGTAGCTTGTATATATTCCACAGCAA